TATATATATATATATATATATATATATATATATATATGTAAAAAATATATATATACACATATATACACATATAAATATATTTAAATGTGTATATATATAAAAGCATTTAAAACCTTCTCACACTCTTGCAATATTCTAAACAAAGTTTCTAAACGCTCTAAAAGAGCACAGCATGTCATGATCTCAGTTCTCTGCCGCCTGCTGCACTCTGCCATTTGGCCACGCCCACGTCTCCATTGCAGAGCGGAGATCAGCTGATCAGCTGGAGGAGGAAGCTTCTGCTGCCCACTGGTGCTAAATAATTTAAAATAATTTGTTTTAAATAAAAAATCCATGCCGATCGTGTGGCTCATCCATCAATCAGACAGTTGTGCGTCATGTCTAATCTTACTTTGAAAAACTGCGATAGAACAAGTCCGCGAACTGTGAAATAATGAGGGACTACTGCGCTAACAATTCTGAATGCTTTTAAAGCTTTCCCCAATAGATTTAGTCGACGTAACTGGGATTTCTTTGACAACTGTGCAGGTTATGAACAAACTAGATGGACAGTATTATGCCATGAAGAAAATTCTAATCAAACAAGTTTCAAAAGAAGACTGCATGAAGGTGAGTTTACAGATATTCTTTATGCTTTAATGCAAAAAAAAAAAGATTCTCAATGACTCATTGGAACTGACTCTGTTGTTTTGTGTACTCATAGGTACTTAGGGAAGTCAAAGTGTTGTCCAGCTTGCAGCATGTAAATATTGTGGGTTATCACACGGCCTGGATGGAACATGTTCAGCCTGCGACGTGTAAGTCCTTGCCTGTTACTTGCAATAGGTTAACTTGACCCAACAGTTAATCATCTTTGTATGGAAATATGCCTTTTTTTTTTCAGATCCTGAGTCCAGTCTTCCAGCGCTGGAGTCTCCTGGACAAGACACGTAGGGTTCAAGTGATTTATGACAATTTCACCCATTTGTACTAAATCAGCCTGCCCTGCAGCAATGCATTTGTCTTTTTTCCTTTCATTCACAGCTTTGGTGATGGCTCTGACAACAGTAGCTCCAGCTCATCTATAGTCTTTCAAAGCCAAAGTCAAGCAGAGACAGATGCTGCTTCAAGTGTCAAAGAGACTCAACCTATGAGAGCAATAGTTTCTTCCAAAGAGGGACAAGTAATGTGTCCCCGGACTATGCGTCGGATCCCAGAGAACTATGTCCCCTGTGTGTTTCTGGGGCAGCGAGCTCCTAAAAATGGCTCCAAATGTCTCGCCATGGGCTGGGATACTTCAGCACTGTTAGACGAGGAGTCGAGCAGGAACAGCATTGAACTGAACAACAACTCCTACATCGACAAGGAGTGTCAGCAGTGGGCTGACAAATGCACCAGTAGGCCCTCCAAAGAGGTAAGTCCTCGGCTTGTCTCAAAGCAACGTAAAACAAATGTAAGTTTTACTGGATTTTCTTTAAACTAAACCTAAAAATATCACTGAAAAGATTAATTTGTGGGTTCTTGATGTATGTAGGTACAGTTCCACCTGATGCTGTACATCCAGATGCAGCTGTGCGAGCGCTCACTGAAGGACTGGATCTCTGAGAGGAACAATGAGCCTAGAAAAGAGCAACTTTCAGTCTGTGAGTCTTTTTTATCTCCGCAGTCTTTTTGGTACAGCGCACACTCCATTTACTAATAGTTAAACCAAACTGTGAGAAAAATAAAAATGTTATGTAACTCGGTTTAATTTACCGTATTTTCTGGATTATAGGTTGCATCAGTCAAAAAAATGCCTCATGAATAGGAAAAAAAACGTATATAAGTTTCTTTGGAGTATAAGTCACATTTATTTAGGAAGTGTATTTCACAAAGTGCAAGAACAGGCATTTAATCTGAAATTAGAGATGCACGATATTATCGGCTTGGTATCGGTATCGGCCGATATTAGCGTTAAAGTTAAATTTCGGACATCGACAATTCCATCAAAATAAATCACCGATATAAAAGGAGCTGTTTTTGTATGACGACCCAATGACAAGGATGCCTGCAGCAGCAGCACAACGTGATGACGTCACGTGCGCCTACCTGATCTGATCACGGCGGAGAGGAAGAAGTCAAAATGTCGGCGGTGTGGAAGTTTTTTTTTTTTTTTTTTTTGGTGAGGATGTCAAATTTCCCAAGATTTCTGGACTACGTTGTTGAGCCTCGCTACATCGTCCCCAGTCGGAGATATTTTTCCGACGTAACCTTACCCGAGTTACAAGCTGTCATTTCTGACGTCACTGAGAAGCTAATAGCCGATAGCACTCGGGTGAGTTTTACCTGGACGTCGCGTTAGCCCCGTTAGCATGATTAGCCTTACAATGGATAGACAAAAACTTTGAACTTAAAAAGTCTGTCCTTCATGCACAAGAGTGCAGAGGATCCCACACTGCAGCTATAGGAACCTGGAACAAACCTCCACAAGTGAGACAGCATCACAGGGGACTAATGCTAATAAATAACATTTAACACTTTTCATTTAATATAAGTTAAAGTGCTATGCATATCATATGGCTGTTAGTGAATATATGTCACCAGCTCTTACAGCTGTTGCACAATTTTTGTAGCAAATAAGCCTAAATAAGAGGGCTATGTTTGACAAAGGAAAGTATATAAAATATCGGTATCGGCCAAATAAGTTTTAACATATCGGCATTCGGATATCGGCCAAAAATCTAGTATCGTGCAAATAACAATAACACAACATACCTGTGATCCTGAACAGGATTAATTAACATAAGCCAACAAGTCCAACAAGCAAGTTACTGGTAAATTCACCAATCTCATTCCACATCACTTTCGGGGACATTTTCCTTGTGTTAAGATTTTCTCAGTTGTCTCTAAGTGAATGTTTGTGTATGTGTGTGTGTGTGTGGGGGGGGGGGGGGTGCGCATTACGCAGTAGAGGAACAACATATAGTTGTCAAAAGCCTAGAGAGGCCTCTCGCAGCTGCAAATGGTAATGTTTACTCTTTGGTTCATGTCGGTATGAATGAACATTGAACATGTCAGTCAACAAGTGAGTCATGAATAGGAAACAAAACCTATACAAGTTGCTTCGGACTATTAAGTCGCAGGACTAGCCAAACTATGAAAAAAAGTGTGACTTATAGTCTGGAAAATATGGTATGTTGATTAATAATGTTGTCTTAATTCTAAGATACGTAAAATAAAATGTACTTTGTTGACCGCTTGAGGAGATTTCAGGGCTGTCCCAGTCACACAAAAGTTAATCAATAGATGAAATATTAAAGCTTTTCTGTGTAATCTGAGAATTGGTTTTAAGTAGATGTGTACTTTTCTGTTTTCAGCTCCATATGATTGTATTGATGCCAAACACACGCTAAGGCTGCTGAAAAACATTCTTGAAGGAGTGGACTACATTCATTCCAGAGGAATCATGCACAGAGACTTGAAGGTAACATTTTTATAATTTAACGGAACATCGGTGTGCACTTGAGGTGCAGTTTCATTGTTTGGCTAAATCCTGTTGACCATCTTGCACGAAAGAGATGTGCTGAATCTTCTAGTGATTGAAGACAAACTCAAAGAGCGTTTTAGGGAAATTTTTTTCTAAATTCCTCTATCTTTTCACCAACGTACCACAGCAAGTAAATGCCACGCTTGCAAATACCCAGAAGTGTTCTTGGTTGTAGAATTAGTCCAAAAAGTTGGTCTCTCTGAGTAAAGCAACGTGGTTGAAGGTAAGTGGCCGTCAGTCCAAAAAGTTGGTCTCTCTGAGTAAAGCAACATGGTTGAAGGTAAGCGGCCGTCCTGGTTGTAGACTGTTAGTGGGGAGGTCAGGCTGAGGAGTTTGATCAGCATAGTGTGATTCTGTCCATTTGTCCTGTGATTCAGGAACAGACAGTCATATCAACACCGTGCTCACAGAGGAGCTGTAAACAGGTTTCTGCATTCTGGATCTTAGAGTTTGATTTTGTCGATTTTGGTCTGAATGATTGGCCAATCAGTTATCACCAAGACTGGCGGGCAGGGCTTAATTTGAGCCAGATCCTGCTGGAACAGGATCCGAGAACGCTCTTATTTTGACAGGGTGCGTTCTGGTAACTGTCTGCTAGGATCCAGCTGGGATCCGGTAACTCTTAGGCGTACTACTAATAAAATTATGACCAAATATGACAGAATAAAACTTATATTGGACATGTAAACTGAAAATAATTACCAGTACATAAACACTAGTTTTAAACATAACAGCCACTTACGAGCTGCCTTTTCAAGAAGCATTTCCGCGTCTACCCGTATAAAAATCGCCACCCCTAAAAGAGTGGGGGGGGGGGGGGGGTTGAGATAACCAGGCAGTGGTACGCGGGCAGGAGCCCACAAGCGCCTGGAGGTTTCGCATGTGGAGTCGGACAACAACAAGCAGGGACAGAGTCGGTCTGGGAACCGTCAAGTACAGATCTCCCTTGTAAATGAGTTCTTGAGGCTCAATGAGACTAACCTGTATAAATAAAGACTGAATGAAAAAAAAAAAGTAAGAGGGAGGGAGATGTTTACAAATGTATGTAAACATAGATGTTTAACAACCCATTAAAATACACCAAAATGCAGGAAATCACATCTACTTTATTCAGAATTTTCTGGGGGAGGACACCTGTTTGCGTTCCGGCATCAATCGGTTTACAAATTAAGTCAAGTCAACTTTATTGTCATTCGCATCACATGTGGTACATGAGGTGGAACGAAATGATGTACACAGGTTCCTAGTTACATCCAACAATAGCCAAATATAAGTATAAAATATTATAAACGGGTCTCCCTTGTAAATGAGTCCTCGAGGCTCATTGAGACTAACCTGTATAAATAAAGGTTGAATGAATTAATACAAATAAACTGTAAATAAGGATTTAAAATATATGCTAAACGCTAATAATGTTAAACAATACGGTGTAACAACAGCAGCCCAAACATGAGTCTGTGGTGAGCAGATGGGTATGAATGAATAAAGCGGCATGAGATAATCAGCAGCATGAGATAATCAGCAGCATGAGATAATCAGCAGCACAGATAAGTCACATATCACCAATTAAATAAACATTACAGTGGTATCCTGGTTAGGGTGAGTCTAACAGCTTCAGGGTAGACCGGATGTTAAGGTATGACAGGGTTTTAACCCTGGTGGTGGGGTTCGACCATGCTCGTCCCTGTGAGTCAGTGTTGGTAAAAGCAGCATAAAATAAAAAGCTGAGAACTGACGTTTTTTTTTATGTTGGCGTAAAGTAACTACTGTAATTACTGTAATTACTTCTGTAGCATTCTCTTTGGGATCACTTTCAAGTCACCAAAACTTACTTTTTGTCATCAAGTATTTTTCACAATTTTTTAAAACAGTTTTATTTGATGTAATTTTTTTATCTTATACTTCCACTTTGTAAGTAATAAAGGACAAAAAAAAATGTCCATAGAGATATTTTAAGATAAACACGGGTTATGTTAAGACAGATGACTGTTTGCCGTGTTCATAATAAAATAAACGTGTTTTTAACGTCATTAAACTGCGGCTGACAGTACCTGGATGACTGAGCATGAACTTTGTTGCCTTGAACCACTTTGGCAGTGGCTGCCTGCCTGGGAGAAATTGACGAGGGACAGGACGGCCCCCAGAAACCATGTTAGCTCCAGCAAACTGGTTGGTCCATTTAAGGAGTTTAATGCTTGGTGGGGAAATAGTTTACTAGAGCTCCTCTGGCTGATGAAGCCCTCTGGATAGAGGGTGAAACGTCTCTCTAAAAAAAAAAAACTTTCCAGATGACCCGACTGAGAATTATTGGATTTTGTACCTGGATGATTGAGCATGAACTTTGTTGCGGCTGACAGCAAACTCTGCGCCCTCTGTGCTCTTCTAGCAGCCAGATGAAGGGAGTAGAAAATCCCTAAAATGAGAAGACAAAGCAGAAATGTTGACATTTTTAACTGAACCTAAACATCAAACAAGGACGCTTTTTTTTTTTACATGAGCAAGATTACATTTAATTAACTTGATGATATCCCAGTTTTTGTAGTAATATTTTATACAGAGATTGTTTCTCTTCTTTTCTTTGAGGTGCCACTTTAAATTTAGCAGTTTAGTTCCTACATTAATCCACACAGGTAGTTTTTGTTATAGCTCTTACCTTCCAGAAAACTCCTCCATATGCACCATCCTGTATTTAAATCAAAAGTTGTTGCCATACTTCCATCCATAATTGCTGTGGAGAACTCATTGTTGTAAAACCTGATACCTTTACTTGACTTATCACTGCGCTCCTCCAGCATGACAGAGTTTTACAGACCTGCTGCTCTCTGGATTTCTTTCCTCAGAAGGTGTGTAAATGTTTTAACATGTTTTTATTTAGCAGCACAGGTTAATTTCTGTCTAAAATTATGGTTAATTAAAAACTAGAGCGAGTGCCTAAATACTTGTTAGCTGCTGTACTTCTTCTTCCTCTCTGGTCCTTTATTATCAACTACTTCTGTTTTTACTGCTTTCTGTTTTGAGTTTCATCACGTACCCGTCTAACTCGGATCTAGAGCAGTTCTGTTCAAACTGATACTCGTGACTTCACGGGGCCTGTTGCCTCCCTCTGTTGCTCTGGCGTTTGAGTCACGTCACTGTTTTTGTTTTCTGCAGAACAGTTATTTACTGTTGCTTTGAAATTAACGCTAGAAGATGAGCACAGTGTTCTCACATTTTATTAGCTGAGATGGGGATTTACTAAAAGGAGGGTGGATTTTTCTCCTTTGGCTTTATTGTTTTTAGAAATTTTGTTTTGCATCTGCACCATTGTCATGCAGCAATGATGGTACGGGGTAAACGTATGGAGTGGGAAGTGACGTTTGATTATTTTTCTGTTTTGAAGCTGTGCAAAATTAACTTTTTTCATTCATCCATTCAACCTTTATTTAGATAGATAAATCACGTTGGGCCTGGGAGACTCATTTACAAGTGAGATCTGTTTAAACAGACACAAAGTAGTGAAACTGGACACATGTAGGAAATTGGAGGCATAAAAAATTCCTATAAAACTCTTTCTTCTTGGCTGAGAAGAAAGACCCCGATAATGAAAAAAACACCCCGCACAGACAAGCACATGGTGACGTAGATCATTCTGTAGAGGGGAAGTACATGTACCGTACTTCCCGCCGTACACATCGCACAGCCGTATAGGTAAAATATGTCTAATAAAGTGCAAAAAAAAAACCATAAATAAGTCGCTTCGCCGTATAAGTCGCATCTATTACGCGTCACCGCTGACCACCTGGAAACTTGGGCCAGTGTTGTGCCAAAAACCGATTGGCTGCCAAATTGCAGCCGCGGGAGCGTGTACGGGAGGACTTTTAACAATAATTTAACAAGATTAACACTTAAAAACAATTATTTGTTTGCTCGACATTATAGTAAAGGTGTGTCTCTGTTTAACGTTTTTAACGGTCAAATCAGGTGCATTTCAAAAATCGATTTGCGGCTGCTGGAACGCGCAGAGTGAGGACTCGCTGTGCGTTTCTTTGAAATTTAACAAGATAATCACCTAAAAACAATTATTTGTTTGCTCGACATTATAGTAAAGGTGTGTCTCAGTTTAACTTTTCCTTAATAAATGCACTTTAATGGTCAAATCAGGTGCATTTCGCCTGGGCGTCACAGCACAACACTTGGCTTGCCATATTAGTTGAGCGCCCTCTAGCAGCTGAAAATGGTAGTGTTCAATATTTTCCATGTCAGAATGAATGAAATGATCAGATCTCATCCATAAATTGGGTTATAAATATGGGGGAAAAGCGTACATTAGTCGCTTTGGTGTATAAGTAGCAGGACTTGCAAATTGATGTAAAAGGGTGTGACTTATATGACGAAAAATACGGTAAATATCTTTGATATATTCATCTTTAGACCCAGTGATGTGTTGAACTAATCGCAATGTTTCTTTTCTTTTCCTCAGCCAAGGAACATTTTCCTTCGTGGTCACGACTGCCATGTTCGGATTGGGGACTTCGGTTTGGCCTGCAGGGATATAATCGTAGATGGTCGTCAAAGAACCTCTTCTCCAGGCAGCGGTAACTTTGCACCTCTTGGCTCGTTATGTTTTTGTAAACATGATTTGTTACAATCACCAGGAGATGGCACCATTTATCTTAAAGTGACAGTTGTTTGTTTTAATTTGTTTTTTTTGCAGATTCCACCCATACTTCTGGTGTTGGTACCTTTGTGTATGCTGCTCCAGAACAACTGAAAGGCTGCCATTATGATTCAAAGGTAATCCCAGTACAGCTGCTTGATATTTATGGGTTTATACAATTGTTTGTTTGTTTTCTTCATCATTTGTTAATTTTATGAATATATGGCATCATCTCTTTAATAACAAAAATAAATAAATAAAACTTCTGAAGAATAATTTCAACGTTCTCTTGCAGTCAGACATGTACAGCATCGGCGTTCTAGCCTTTGAGTTGTTCCAGCCTTTTGGGACCGAGATGGAGCGAGTCCGGACCCTCGGGGACCTGAAAGAAGGGAAAATCCCTGACCAGTTCTGCCACAAGTGGCCGGTTCTGACCAAGAACATCATGATGCTCATGAGTAAACAGCCCAGTGTTCGACCTACAGCCAGGCAGCTCTTAGAGAGTGAACTCTTCAGCAATAAAGACATGGTAGTTTGGGGAAAATAAGCTTTTTTGTGAATTTATATATTTTATGACTACTTTTACAAAGGCCCGAGTAGTCTAGATGTAATTTAAGTGTATTTTTATTTATTTTTTATAATTGTAAAGTTTTAATTCATGTTTCTCTTGCAGAGGTGTGTTTATTAGATGCACTCGTGTGTTTTTGTCCCCTCAGGTCATTCATGGATTGCAGCGACGGGTCGAAGAGCAGGAGGAAGAGATAATGCAGCTGAGGATGCAGATCAGTCAGCTTCAGAACTCTAAAGTCACAGTTACTTTCTCTGATTTGGATAAAAGCTGAACTTTAAAAACTGGAGTGGTTTGTAAAAACCCAATATATATTCAGCCGTTGTAGCACTGTTTGAGCTGGTACAAGTGGCTGTGTGTATGCGTGGACTTTTAATGATGGTGTTTTTTTCCATCATGGAGGTGCTTAATAAAGCTCGTCTCCGTTTACTTGTTTGGGGCTATTGATCATATTGCCTTTAAATCTGTGGGGACACCTGCATGTAGGACTGGTTGTGTTTAGCAGCCTGTTTACTCCAGAGGGATTGCATTGTCCATTGTTGGTCAATTAATACATAAAGTGATGTTTTTGTACATATGTTTTGATGCATTTATATTTAAACTGTTCTCTGTTCCTTCGATGGGAGGTGATGTGAATGTATAGCTGTAGGAAGTCGTTTGTTCAGTTGGATATATGTTGTGTGGACTTTATAAATGCTGTGAACTCGTGTTCTCTTGTAAATATTGGTGTTGTGTGTTTGCACGGCTCAGACGCTCGTGTCACCGGGTTTGAGGTCACGGTTAAATACAGGCGGCGGATCTTCCCGAAACACGTTCCTCGCCGAGACGGGAGCCAATCACGAAGCTCGATACATGGCAGGTACCCGGATGTACCCGTGGGGTAATTAGCTACGTCATTGTTCACCAGCGGACACCCGCAGGAAACAAGAAATGGATTTAATACCGCTATTAACGTATTGATAACAGACTCCAGGTGAGTTGTGAGGTGCTTTAACGATTGTATAGCACGTATATTGTGAAGCCAGCACGTTTAAATCAGTCTAAAGTGCCGAGATTAGCTGTAGTAGCCTTACACCGGTTCTGTGTGTCATGATGTCGGCAGAGAGCGACGCAGTAAGCACACTGCCGCCCGGTGTCCTTTTCATAGCTACGCGTCCTGTCACTCAGGCCCACCCATTTAAAACACAACATGCTTTAAAACGATAATGGCTTTCTAACACGCTAAGCTAGGAACGCTCGCCGCCACAGACGTATATGGTCGCCACAATGTCGGCTAGCTGCGGCGTCGCTGCTAGCTAGCTAGCTCGTTAGCCGCGTTAGCATAAGCGGTGCCGCGCTGATCGGTGCCTGCGTCGGCTTTTAGTGGCTTCACTCGTATCTTTTACCACGACCCGCTCGTAGATTAGTAGTTCGTCACCACTAGTTGTTTCCCAAAGAATGTGACGTGTGTATCTGCGCCCCCTCTCCCGCTTACGTAAACTTAGTTTGACAGCGCGTGCTCTTCAAAGTGATGGCGCTGCGTGTTGAAGGCCTTGTCTGTTAGCCAGCGGAGCAGGTGGGAGGGACAGCTGCTGCTGCTACAAGGAAACCAGCTCTCTGTCGCCAGGAGCAGTTTAAGGGTTTACTTGGAGACCCTCATCACTAATTAAAATGAAAGACTTATTTTATTTAAAATAGACTTCTTGTTACAAAGGTAGATAGCACCAATATGCATATTTAAAGCCAGTGCAGGAGCTGCATAAAGGAAAATAAAACCATGACAAGAGCTCAGTTTTTGTTTTTAGATTCTCAGATTTGAAGTAGTTTGTCAGTAATAATCAATGTTGGTGGGTTTTAGTGTTTCAAGTCTGAAAGGCAACTATATAAGCTCTAACATAACCAGTTTACATGGCAAATACTAATTATTATTATTGCTCCTGCACCCTGTTTTTATGCATTTTCTGTTTTTATTTGGATCATTTCTGTCTCTATTGTTATTGCTGTATTGTTACTTTATTTAAGACGTGTGGTCTTTTGTTTGATGAATTTTACAAGTCCAGTATTTAAAAACTTGCCTGTCTGCAAAATGGCCAATGTTTGGAAGTAGAGCTGCATGAAAGAAATGTTTAATATTTTGACGACATCAGCTGCAACAAACCTACATTTTCTTCTCTTTTGTCATCAGAATCATATAAACCAAGTGTTGACATCTGAACTGATCAGATGTATTATTAGCATTCAGAACATCCAGAGAGATTTGTCATTCGCATCTCATGTGGTACATGTGGTGGAACGAGATTATGTACACAGGGTCCCAGTTACACCCAACAATAATGATCCCTGAAAATAACGATCTATGATTTATCCCAGTCCATTGCGGTATTGATAATGTGCTCGCTGATATTGTGACAATAAGTTTTTGATACATTTTACAGCTCTGGTTGGAAGTCTGGTCTACATCGCAACAGTTGCATCATTTGATGCGCAACATCGTTTTATGTGTCGTACCTCTTAAATAAACTTCAGAATAATTCAGCTGAACATGATGAATAAAATTCCTCATTTTCTCTTTTTTTATTTGCATTTCTTTTAAATAAGATATTTGTAATTAATTCTAAATGATCTTAGTGTTTATATACAAGCTTAAAACGTTGTTCCCTTTTTTTTTTTTTTTCAAAATTAAATTGACCAGTACAACAAGAAAACATGTTAGTGGTTTAAATTGTTGAACTGGTTCACATTATTACAGTGCTTTCTCAAATGTAATGTTATATGTAGCTGTGGCATTTAACGGTTTGCTTTATGTAGTTCATTTTATTTACTGTAGTCATAACATAAAAATCAATTAAGCATTTACGTTTTGGAAACTTTGTGGGTTTTGTTAATTTTATTAATTTATTGCAACCTTTAAAGTCGTATGCTTCTGTCTCTGTCCCTAATGCAGCCATGAACAATGACCATAGTTGACAAGTTGTCAGAGAAGTCCGACCACGAGTCAGTCGGATTTAACCGCTCCTCCTTCTCAAGTGGAGACGTGGGGATGGACGGCAGCTGTTCCAGCAGCTGGGCAGTGGGTCCCACCATGCCCAGTGACTCTCCAAGGCTCAAGTCTCCAGGAGGCTGCATGGGTCCGACCCCTGGTGCTGCTGTCTACAACAGCACACCCTCCTCTATGGACCGGCCCAAGGACCAAGGTATGCAAAAGACTTCCACCCGCTGCCTTTTTGACGCATGTGTCTCAAAAGCCATGAGGTGAGACGATGTTTACAGATCACGGCTCGCTGCATTTATCCGCAAACGCAAGAGTTACACAATCAGTGTTGTCAAACAGTGCAAGTACACAAGCTGCTTTATTTTCTTGTAGTGGAAATATTTAAGAACAAATATTTTTTTCTGAAATGTGTAGTTTGAGTTGATTTTTTTTATTTTTTACAAGTATAGTTTTTATTTTATTTCTGATCTGGGTGTGTTTGATTTAACTTGTGTTATTCCGCAAGTAAATAGAAAAGAATAGTCTGTAAATGCTCCAATTTAAAGCTGCACTGATGACGTAATTTTTGGCCACTGTTTTTTATTTTTTTTGTGGGTGTATTGTGGCTGCTAATTCTTTTCATTCATTCAGTTACATAACTCAGTCAGTTTTAAAGGAAGCGCGTGATCAGTGGCGTAGGTGGCAGATTCAAACAAGTTTAAGCAAACCAGTTTGATCAGAGACAAACTAGAAAAATAAAACTGAACTGCACCTGTGTCTGATTTTCTTTATCATTATGTGTGTCCAGTTATAAGCAGTGGGGATGGAATCGAGTTGCCCCAGAAGGTCCTGTTCCCTCCGGAGCGGCTCAGCCTAAAGTGGACCCAGGTCCACCGTGCGGGTGCCGGCCTGCAGAACATGGGGAACACGTGCTTCCTCAACTCAGCCCTACAGTGTCTCACCTACACGCCACCGTTAGCCAACTACATGCTGTCAAGGGAGCACTCTAAAACATGCAAGTTGTCGTTTTTGACCCTTTTAATAAAAAAAATAAAAAGCTTGTTTAATGGTACACGTTCTGTAATTATAACATTGTTCTAAATTTAGCAGTATCTGCAAGATTAATGCTTTTTGCATAATTATTTTTTTTTATGAACATTCCTTTTAATGCTTGCTCCAGGTCACGAGCCGGGTTTCTGTATGATGTGCACCATGCAAAACCACGTCATTCAGGTTTTTGCCAACTCTGGGAATGTCATTAAGCCCATCGGTGTACTCAATGAGCTTAAAAGTAAGTAGATTTCTCTGGAGCTAAACAACTGAAGCTGAGGACTGGCAGAAATACGACTGTGTTACTGATTATTTTTGCAGGGAAAGCATTGAGTACATTTATATTTTACCATTTAAAGAAGTTTCTTTAAGTATGCATGTGTGTCTTGTACTTTTAATTAATTTAATTTTTTTATTTTTTGCATTCAGGGATTGCAAAGCACTTCCGCTATGGAAGTCAGGAGGATGCACATGAGTTCCTTCGGTACACGGTGGACGCTATGCAAAAGTCCTGCCTACCTGGAACTAAGTGAGTGAATCGCAACTTAATTGTTTTTGACAGAAATATAAAGTCATGACTACTCTTTGTATTTAATGTATTTCATGGGTTACACCTGGGGCCTTAATTTCTATAATTAGATATATAATTTCAGAGCAGAACCTTATTTTATTCAAGTTTTTCGGTCTGCGGTATATTTCTCTTTTAAAATGTTACTTTTACCGACTGTTTTCTGCAAACCGCTGCTGTTAACATCGACAGACATGGGCCCAAACAGTGATTTAATGACTGTTCAGTGTTTTATTCTGCTGGAGCACATACGGTATTTTCAATGTTGTTCAGTCATGTTAAATAATTATGAGACAATTATAGTTGTGTACTCTGTATACATAAAGTATTGCATTAAAAAGAAAACAAGATTGACTTTGAAGACACAAAGTTCTGATTATTGTGTTTCTGTTTGAGTAAAGTTGATTTTTATGGTTTATAAATAACTGTTTCAACTTTCTGCCTTTCTCACTCCAGCTGTTTGAGCTATATTTTGTAACTAGTCAGTTCATAATACTTAAGACACTTTAGTTTAAACAGATTTTAATTTTATATTTCCGTTGTTGTCCATATTGAATCCTGTCATCGCTGTTTTTCTGACAGGTTGGACAGACAAACGCAGGCAACCACCTTCATCCATCAAGTATTTGGTGGGTATCTTCGGTCCAGAGGTGAGTTGAACTGTGGCTCTTACACAAAGTCATGCTTTAATGTTTCACAATGTTTTGAATTAACATCAACAATCTTAACGTCTTTTTCAGTGAAATGTTTAAACTGTAAATCAGTCTCAGATACATTTGATCCTTTTCTGGATATCACTCTGGAAATTAAGGTAATTATCCTTTATTCTTTATCATTTCTGACTTGTTCACTATTTCTACAGATGTATTAATGTTTAAGACTTTATCAAAGTTTCTAAAAATAATACAAACCTCCGAAAAGTTTTATTATTATTATTTTTGTCTCTGCAGACAGCTCCTAGTGTCTCTAAAGCTCTGGAGCAGTTTGTAAAAGCAGAACAGCTGGATGGTGAAAATGCCTACAAGTGCACCAAGTAACTCGCCAAAACAACAAACATGAGCCAGTTTTTTTTTCTGTGTCACCCTGCTTACTAATTATTTGAACTTTTATCTTCCTCAGGTGCAAAAAGATGGTCACAGCCTCAAAGAGGTTCACAATTCACCGCAGCCCCAACGTGCTCACCCTCTCACTAAAACGATTTGCAAACTTCACCGGAGGAAAAATCACCAAGGTACTGTCACGTACATACAATCACTTTATAGACCTGTACATCTCCATTTTGTATTTGACAAATATTGTTTTGTGTGCACCAGGATGTTAAATATTCAGAATACCTTGACCTGCGGCCCTTCATGTCTCAGTGTCAAGGAGAAGCCCAGATCTACGGACTGTATGCTGTTCTGGTCCACTCTGGATTCAGCTGCCATGCTGGACACTACTTCTGCTATATTAAGGTGCTGGCAGTGCTTCGAATCACCGTTAATCCATCAGGATATTGCTGCTGAGGAGACACACACACATTTGTCTTAACACGTCATATAAACAAATAATTCAGATGAGATGAAGTGAAAAATCTTTTAACAGACTCAACATACAGATGCTAATGCTCTCAGGAAGTTACATGACCAGAATAAATTTAAGTTTAATCTACATTACAGCTTCACAATATTAGAAAACAATTACTGTATTTTTTGCCGTACAAGTTGCACCGTTTTGCTTAAATTTGCAAGTTCAGCGACTTATACACTGAAGTTATTAATATTGAACACTACCATTTTCAGCCGCAAGAGGGACCTCGAGTAATATGGCAAGCCAAGTGTCTCATTAATAGGTAAAAGTGACTATTATTGAGACACTTGGCTTGCCATATATATCTACTTTCTTCTTGTTCTGGAACTCCTGGAGCAAACATCAAATCAGCTGTATTTCACCGCGCTGCCCAGGTGAAATGCAGCTGATTTGATAATTAAAGTGCATTTATTAAGGAAAAGTTAAACTTAGACACACCTTTGCTATAATGTCGAGCCAACAAATAATTGTTCTATTTCGTATAGGCTTCGCCCTTTAAGGCTGTCGCCAGTGGGTTTATCCCTATGCGCGCAGCGCAGCACTGAAAACTTTAGTCCACGCCCACCTACTGTGTGGGCCTCGTCCCCGGTCTGTATAAATTATGGTGAGACAGGGTAATCGGCTCCCATTTTTTCTTCAGCCAGCTAGCTAGCACTGTCAGAAGAACGAAGAAGGAAAAGTTGTCCAGCTTTGACCGGCACAACCTTTGCTAAGGATGCCTGGGTCTCCGCCACGCCAACCTCCTGCTGTCCCGGTGAGCTCTTTCTCCCCGAGGAGAAGCAAAGACGAGCAGCTTTGTTAAAGGTAAGCGCCGAGGAGTGCTTTTCCGTGGCAGGCCGCTACCTGCTGGACGACGCCACCGCCTTTTCTAACGTGTTTTTTTCTCACGGTGAATCGGATGATTCCCTCGAAAAGGCGTTGTTGGCAGCAGCTCCGCTGAGTGTTTTTTTTCTGTGGCAGGACGCAATGCGCAGGACGACGCCACTGCCTTCTTTGACGCAGAGTCACGCAGTGAATCGAATGATTTCTCCGAGAAAGGCAATGCGGTGCCGCCCCCTCCCTCCTGGAGAGCGTAGTAACGGAAGACGAGCGGCCGAGCGGATGCTCAGCCACCTCGGATCTTCCCAAGTCGGCGACCACACCACTCCCAGCTGTCGGTGCCCTCCTCTCGGAGCTGCCCGACATAATCCAGGAGGATGTTGACACAAGAGACTTTCCGCCCCTCACCTCCCTCCGCCCTTATCGGATGATCTGGCGGCAAGGTTGGCTCCGCCCTGGCTCGTCGCCCTGACCCCATCTGGCCTCGCTGTCCAGCTGTGACGTCACACTGGAACGAGGCTACAGCTGGGCCCGGCAAGCTGAAGACAGCCGTCTCCACCTTCGCCTCCATCTCCAGGGTGAAGGGTTTTACCGATCGGTGTTTTTCCCTCGGTCCCCCCCCCCCCCCGGAGACAAGCCTGGCGGTGACACTTGGGGCAAAAGCTTCCAGGATGGACCAGCAACCTGTCCCTCCAGGGAAGCATGACCAGATGGTGACAAGGTCTCCAACCGAGCTCACAAGTGCTCATTCCAGACGGCCGCAATGAACAACAACGTTGTCCTGCTGGCCTACAGCATCTCTAAGAGGCTGGAGGAAGCAGACCTGTTGGAGGAGACAAAGAGCTCTCTCTCTCTGTAAAGCCGCTGATGTCATCTTAAACATGTGCCACCTCTGCGGTCTGCCTGTTCCGCATCGCCGCCTGGATGACCATGATCCAGAGGACCACTTGGCTCCGCCTCTCGCCATCCTTGTCTGAAAGGCTGCAGAAAGACCTGCTGGACGGCCCCATTACCCCAGAGGCACTGTTCGGGGCCAACTTCAGGACCATCCCTGAGAAATCGCAGAGGTCAGAGGAAGTCTCAGAGACTGGACACCATCTGGTGATGTCACAGTCCATCTGCCCCTCCGGCCACTGGAGGGACCGCCTTGGCCAGCAACAGCACCAGAGGCGCTTCACAGCTACGGCAGCGACTTCACGCCCCGCTCCTCCGCCGGCCCCCTCCACCAGGTAACAGCTCCTTGAGGGGAAGGCATGTGTTTTTTGATGATGTATGTTTTTGATATAAAACAGAAACACCTCTGAAAGTAAAGTTTTTTTCAGCTGAGACTGTCAGATCAGCTGAGCTCACAGCTGCCTCTCTTCACACATTCCCCACACAGAATGAGCCAGTAACCTCTAAACAGCGTTTGAAACAGCACCGCAATTCAGTAAATATCACAAAACACTTGTCTGCCACGTCAGCTAAAATGATGTTTTTTCAGCAGACCGAGTCTGGTAGAATATCTCGTTGTCATCCAGAGCCCGTTTTTAATTTCTGCTGTTTTCTGCCCACTCACAGCGCAGCAGGAGTAAACGTGTTTTCTCCACGACAGCTGCAGCCTCCACCAAAACGGCGTCTCACTCAGAAAGCGCTCATGTCTCCTCTCAGTGCGCACCGGCTCACCTCAGCTCTATGAGAGACCGCAGCGTGGGCTCAGCACGGAGGCACACATACAGCCCTTTTTTCTGTCTGAGCCCTCCTTGGGTTCCCCGGAGAATCTCCGGAGCGAGTGATGGCAGTAAGGATTTTTAGTCTGGTTGACGTTCATGAGAAACATGACACAACACAAATGCGTGCCCGCTCTCCAAGCGTTACTCAGAGTGGCAGCGAGTGTGTTCCCTGGACAGATGGACGGACCATTTGATCAGCAGGGGTTACACGCTGCAGTTCACATCTCAACCCCCACCGTTCAGGGATTATAGAGACGGTTCTGTCTTCTCCAGAACAGAGCTCGTCTTCTCCAGTCAGAAGTTCAGGAATTTCTGACAAAAAACATGATTTCCAGAGTTCCCAACGGAGAGAAAAATACGGGTTTTTTTCCTCCCACTATTTCCTGGTTCTGATTTAAAAAAAAACAAAAAAAAACGGAGGGATGAGACCCATTCTCGACCTGTTCATGTTCGATCATGGGGAGACAATTCCACATGCTGACAAACAGCTGCTGGAGAACTTCACCAGAACAACTGTTTTTCACCTCCATAGATCTGAAAAGCGCATATTTTCACATTTCCATCATTCTGAAACACCCCACGCACGTTCTCGAAATGCGTGGAGACGGCTCTGCTGTCGTTACACATGGCAGGAATGAGAAATCTTTTTATCTGGACGATCTGCTCTTATTAGCTCAGTCCAGTTAGAAAGCTGTCGCACAGACCAAAACGCTAGTGTTCCACCTGCTAAACCTGGGGTTTCTATAAACTGGGAAAAAGTTCAGTTCTTCCATCCCAGATGATTGTTTATCTGGAAGTGGAGCTAAACTCAACTACAATGAGAGCCCGTTTATCACAGCAGAGAGCTGAAGCTCTATCAGCTCAGCTCTGCCGTGTCAAACTCTGCGGCGTAGTGAGAGTTCTGCCTGTCATGTGACTCCTGGGACGATGTCAGCGGCCCACATCGTGGTTCCGCTGGGCTTACTTCACATGAGACGCCTTCAGAGGTGTTTTGCCCGCCTGCGCATAGATCCTGTGCGCCAGAAGAGGCGAATTATCTTTGTGCCCCCCCTCCATGAGAACTGATCTGAATCACTGGAGAAACCCCCCTCATTCTGTCAAAGGGAGTTCCCATCAGCAGGCCTACGTCACATGTCTCAATTTTCACAGACGCTCCTGTCAAGCTGGGAGGAATGTGTCTGTCCCAGGCAGTGGGAGCACAGTGGCTGGACCACATGTCGCTTTACATAAATGTGCTAGAATGTTTTCACGGTCTGAAACGTGACTCAGCATTTTGCCCCTGCTGCGGGATCAGCATTTTCTGATCCACACAGACAACAAGGTGACGGCAGCTTACATAAACCGTCAGGGAGACCTGCGTTCAGCCCAACTGTTACGCATCACAAAACAGCTGTTGTGTTGGACACACACAAAAACCTGCTCTCCATCAGAGCAGTGTACATTCCCAGCATCCTGAACAGGCGAGCGGATATCATGTCGAGGGGCGGTCCCCGCAAAGACTGGAGCCTCCATCCCGAGCAGATTTCTTAGATTTGGAGCAGGTTTTGGCCGAGCAGCAGTGGATGTGTCCGCCACACGGGAGAACGCCCAGTGTCAATTATGGTTCTCAATGAGCCCACGAGACGACCCACCGTTAGGAGTGGACGCCTTCGCTCACAGCCCGTGGCCAAAAATGCTCCTTTATGCGTTCCCTCCAGTGCTGCTGATATCACGGACCCTGGACCGGGTCCAGGAAGAAGAACCGTCAGTCATCCTCGTATCTCCCCAACGCATATGCGCTCCGTGGTTCCCGAATCTGCAGCGACTGATATCGGGTCGGCCGTGGGAACTGCTGTGGGGGGGCGCTCTCCTCCAGGCAGGAAGAGCGATCAGGAGTTACCCAGAAATAGGTCAGCATCTTTGGGTCTGTCCGCTGAACAGATCTGTTTAGAAAAGGTGGGCCTCCCACAGGATGTGGTGCGTACGTTCAGGGCGCACGAGCTGCTTCCACATAACGCTGTACACATCAAGTGGACAGTTTTTCAGCGCTAGTGTGCAGAGAAAGGCGTGGAGGCCATCTCATGGCCACTAGGTGGCATGCTGTCATTTCTGCAGCAGCCAATGGACAGAGATCTAGCGTTCAGCACAATTAAGACTTATGCTGCAGCTATTTCTTCCTGTCACGAGGGCTTCGGTGACAGAACAGTTCTTAATCACCCATTGATGAAGCGTTTCCTGAAAGGTGTACGGAGACACAGACCGGTGTCACGTCCACTAGCTTCACAGTGAGACCTAATGATGGTCCTGCGCGCTCTGATCAAAGCTCCTTCTGAGCCTTTAGATCAGGTTTCACTTAAATTTCTGTCATTTAAAACAACCCTGCTGTTAGCTCTGACATCGGCAAAGAGAGTGAATGATTGTCTGCTCTCTCTGTTGCTCCCTCATGTCTCAGAATTCAAGCTGACGGCAGCTCAGCTGTACTGTGTCTTAACCCTGCTCTGAACAGCATCACAAGCTCATTCAGATCGAGTGATAACCTTGGATGGGTTTTATCCTCTTCCTCATAATTCTGAGGCGGAAGCAACATCTCACCTCCTTCTGTCCCATGCGCGCGTTTTTCATGTTACGTGACGCACACGGCTGCACTGCACCGCTTTCAGCGTATGTTCATGCATTACAGGGACAGCTCTTCAGAACGCCCTCTACCCACCCAGCACCTCTCACACTGGTTGTGTGAGGTTATTTCTGAAGCTTACAGTTCATCTGGACTGGATCCTCCAGAGAATCTCAGCACATTCCTCCAGAGGGTTTTCATCCTCAATGGAGGGATGACAGTGGAGGATATTTGTATGGCGGCTGCCTGGTCATCGCCATGTTCAATTATTTGTTTTTTTATCTACATGATGTTTCTACTTTCTCCATGACCCATTCTGTTCTCAGGGTTCTGACAGAATGATTATTTGTTTCATGGAGCTTCACTTTTGAGCTCACACCTGCCTGCATGCAGTCGCAGTGTGAGATATTTATTATCAGTCACAAGTTCATGACTGCTGATTTATTGTTATTAACCGGTTCATCCCGAGGAGCTGTTGGTCTGCTCTGTTTATCATTACACTGTTACAATTCGTATCCTCCGTTGTTCCTACTCACAGCAGCAGGTCTGCTATCTCAACCTTTTTTTTTTCCTCACCAGAGATCTTCTCCGGTGCGCTCCTGCGCATAGAGCATGCAATTACGCAGCGCGTAATTACGCACACAGAAGACTGAGTGATGAAATGTTTTTTTGTGCAAGCAGGTGCTTCGTGTTGTGTCTGAGTGGACCCAGTGAGGCATAGACTACATCCTGCTTCACCTTTAACCCACTAGCGACAGTCTTAAAGGGCGAAGCCTATACGAAATAGAACGTTGGTTACGTACTGTAACCCCAGATTCTTTGAGTATAGGCGCAGCCCTTTAAGCTCCGGGCCTCACTGGTTCCTAAATGGCTGAAGAAAAAAGCTATTTGGAAACCGATTACCCGGTCTCACCGTAATTTATACGGATGAGGCCCACACAGCAGGTGGGCGTGAACTAAAGTTTTCAGTGCTGCACGCGTAGGGATAAACCCACTAGCAACAGCCTTAAAGGGCTGCTCCTATACTCATAGAATCTGGGGTTACAGTATGTAACCAACGTTTTTAAGTGTTAACCTTTTTAAATTCTTGTTAAAGTCCTCCTGTGCACGCTTCCACCATTTGGCAGCCAATTGATTTTTGGCACAACGCCGGCCCACATTTCCGGGTGGTCAGCAGTGACACATAATAGATGCGACTTATACGGCGAAGCAACTTATTTACATTTTTTCCACTTTATTAGACATTTTTGGACTGATGCGACATGTACGGCGGAAAGTATGGTAGAATGTGATATAGTTGAATATTTGTCTGTTTTTGTCATGTCATTATGATCATAAAGCTTTACGTGTACGTTAGCGTCTCATCCACCATCATCTAAACCTGGTGTAGAGTTCAGCACACTGCTTAAATATATTCTTAAAATCCAAGCATTACTTTGTGTTATTGTTACAATATATTATAAACAAGTTTACATGTCAATGTATTTTAAAACAATGTTCTTTATACTGCACTTTAATGGCTTTTATGACTTGGAAACTGACTCAAAAACTGAAATCTGAAGCGGCTTTTTGTGCCTCACAGGCTAGCAACGGTCAGTGGTATCAGATGAACGACTCCTCTGTGTCTGTGAGCGACATCCGCTCTGTCCTCAACCAACAGGCTTATGTTCTTTTCTACATCAAGTGAGTCAGCCATCATTCAGCAACTTGGGTTTTTATATTTATTTATTTATTGTTTGTTTGTTTGATTGGATCTTGGTGTGTAAATATGTTCCCTTTTCCAAAAAGTAGAACGGTTGTGTGAAGTCGTGTTTTGTTGAAAATAGTACAAAAACCTTTTAAATGTTAAAACTGTGGAGTTTAAAACGAGTTAAAAGCAGAAGTTAGAGTTGATCACAGAAATCTAACTAAAATTCAAACATAAAGGCAGCATTTTATTGTTTGACCTCTAAAAATGTGTTGATGCTTGTAGAATTGGGTTTGTCTGTGTATTTATTAAGCATTTGGTACATTCTCTATAAAATAATTGTTCATTAATGGACTGAAGAAGTCGCATGATAAATTCATGTTGCGTATTCTGTTATTTTCTCAGACTATTTAACTAAAACCAAAACATTATTTCACAGACTCTCATCTGGAGCAAGTGACCAACATGTCTGTCTTTAATCTCTCGGGTTACAATTGGCGTGAGGTGTTTTTTATTTTTTATTATTTCGTAATGCAGCCTCAACACAATATGGAAAACTGATTTGGACGCTAATGTAAAATAAACAAAGTTCAGTGTTTTCTTTTTCAAACAGAATAGTGTTTCACATGTTAGGCTCTTTAAAAAAATAATAATAATAACAATGCCTCATCCCCCAAATGGACTTTTCCAAGAAAGTAATTGCTAAAGTCCATTTCTGTGGTGCCAGCAGATCATCTGATGTGAAGAAAACTGGGAACTACAACAACTTCAGTCATAACAACCCCGGCATCTCCGGTCAGTCGTCTCCACGGCCTGTGGTGACGCCGCGCATCCACACCACCTCCAACCACAACAGTACTGGCTTCATAGGTCCACAGTTACCTCCACATATGACCAAGGTAACACCAAAGATGTCCATCTTGTTCTGGAAGCAGTTTTTACAACATGCTAGCAGTTTTCTTTGACTGTTATATGTGTTTGTGTTTCCTCAGAGCGCTCCACACGTTAATGGGAATGGATCTCTGAAGGACTTCCCCACCAGTTCCAAAGCCAGCACCAGCAGCAGCGCAGCTGGAAAACCTGGCAACGGACCGGCTTCTTCCTCCATCTCTCACTCGATCAGCCGACCCACGATGATCCCGGACCAAGACAAACGACAAAAGCTTTCATTTTTCATCGGACAAGGCAAACAGAACCGACCAGCGTCTTCGTCCTCCTACAGCCAGCCGTCCTCTGCGAGCAGCTCCTCCTCTTCCTCACAGTCTACCTCAGATGCTCACTCCGTTCCACATGTTAACGGCACATCTTGCAGTAATGGGGATCATGCTGCAGGGAACGGAACGTCTTTCCTGGTACCGTACAGCCAGGAGTCTTCTGAAGAATCGGATCAGGAAAACGGTGGCTCTCTAGATAACGGCTGCTTGTCCAAGTCTCAGACTAAAGAAAATAATGTCCCGGCAGATGTCTGTGCTGGTTCTCCTCAAAACACAAACGGTGAACCAGAAGTGCACCAAAATGGTAATAAATTAAACGGACCAACCTGCGGAGACTCTAAATCCACCCCGAACGGACATGAACACCATAAAGTGAATCGACACAGCACTCCTGAGAAGGTATTTTTATTTAGTGTCTTTACAGCATATACATGATTCTGTGTTATTGTAGTTTATGAACCATCTTTGTTTGTGCTCATCAGGTTTCTACCAGTAATCACAGCAGCTCGTCCTCTGGGATTGCTGTTGCTAACGGACTCGGCGCTGGTCATTGTCAGCCAAGGTAAGGTCACCATTCAGAGATCAATGCTGTCATTAACATGAAGTTGGTAAAATATCAATTTTAGAATAACTTAAACACCAATATTTGTTTTCTTTTTGTTTCCAGCAAAGAGACGCCGCAGTCTGCCTCATCCCAAGCCAGTTCCTCTCAGCACTTTCATTCTGCTGCCAGTGAAAGTGAGCACTTCCCTGCAGACACAAGGGCTAAAACGCTGTCTGAACCCCTGCCTCGTCACACCTCATCCACTGTTAGCACTCCACCGTCAGCTTTGACCACAGACACCCACTCTGCTGCACTGAAAGAGTCTGCTCTCCCAGAGCGTCCTGGTACCCTCACGGCCTTATCCTCGGAGCCAGACAGCTGCCAAAGTGCCAGCGGAGTAGCTGCTCCTCAGAAGGTTAGCAAAAATGACGATGAAGCCAAGAATTCCTTACAGACCAATGGTCCATCAGCAGGAACTGAAGGACAACTGGAATACAAGTGTCAGTTCCAGTCCAAACCCAGTCCTAGAAGGAATGAACAGCAGTCCTCTCCAGACAGGGAGAGAGACCGACTGTGCTCTGACTACAGCAGACACAGAGAGAGACACTACAGGGACAGGAGTCCAACACAAGACGGCCACAGTGACCGCTATCGCTACAGACGAGACCACAGAGATCACCATCGCTCCTTCAGGGATCGTTTGCCTCCTCCCCAACGTAAATACAGGGACTGGGAGTTCGATCGTCATCGGCAGCGAGCTGTCCCGCACTACTGGGACCACGACCGCCACAGGCGCTCCTACTATTCCAGCCACCAACGGTTTGATGGGGGCCACGAGCGGAGGGGACACCCCCACCGTGACGAGTCTCACAGTGGTTGGAGGTGGCAGCAGGACAGTCGAGGGTCACGGACAGTGACGGACAGAAGGAGCGCCTGGGAGAAAGACTGTTACCGCTCCAAAGAGAGGAGTTCTTCCCCTGCTGCACTTCTAGAAACCAACAAGTCCAAGCTGTCACCTCCCCGAGCGCGCCCCTCCAATACCGACTCTTCTTTTAGGAAGTCTGATCAGAGTGCTGCGGAGCACGTGAAGAGAGAGAGAGAGGACAGCTCTGAGGCGTCCCGCTGTAAAAAACATAAAAAGAGCAAGAAAAAGAAGAAGTCTAAAGATAAAGACCGGCACCACGAGAGCAGGTAAGACCTGTTCATCAACGTGTAGAGAGAGATGTTCCAGAAGAAGTCTCAAACAAAACACAACACCTTTTAACGGAGTTTTTAAAGGTTTTAGGGCTTGTCATGTCATTTTTACCAACGTTTTAACTTTAATTTACCTTTGATGCACACAATTAAAATCAGTGTAATGTGTTTGTTTCATGTCCTCGTGACAATAATTTGAAATCTGTGGCAGCTGTTTACATTGAAGGTCAAGCTTGAAATCTCAATGTCATCACAAATATGAAGGGTCAATAATGGGGATGCACGATATTATCAGCATGGTATCGATATCGGACGATATTGGCGATCAACGTGATGACGTCACGTGCGCTGTTGAGTTTAGATTTGTGAAAATTTACAAATTTACTCTGTTCGAGTGTTGCCGTTGTTAGAGAGATTAAATATATGAATAAATTTGACATAATCCAAGTTAAAGTGTTGCATCATTTTCAGCTCCTTTGTGGCATCTGCATTTCGTAACAAGCCAGACTGACAACGACTGTGCACAATAATGTAGTATTTTAATTCCACAGCAGAGAAAGATACGTAGTCTCTGTAAGGAGGTGTAGGAAAAAATATTGGTATCAGTTATCGGCCAAATAAGTTTTAACATATTGGATATCGGCCAAAAATCAAATATCGTGCATCCCTAGTAAAAAAAGCACAACATCAGAAAACCAGCAGATGATTTTAAAAGAGATGGTGGTTTTGAAACAAATACATGGAAGACCAAAACAAAGATCTGGAATAAACATGTAAATTAAGTCATTGTCCTAAAATCAACGGTGATTGCGCAGAAGGTGCAGCAGGCCTCGGTTACCTCCGGCTGCTGAGCCACACGCCACTGGCTTTTTCCTTTAAAACATTTTCAGCAGCTTTTTTTAAGGAGGGTAAATGTTCAGAGTGATTGCTGTCAAACCACTCACAGCATCAGGTGGGGGGACCCTCACCTGACCGACATCTCTGAATTCAAACCATAGAAACGGTACGACGCCGGTAACCTCAACCAAAAGCAGCGCGTGCTACGTGTACCTTTTATCTTACGTGGCTGCCCCGTTTTACATGATGCGACGGCAACGCTCCGTATTTTTGACGGCGCTTCTCCGTGTTTCCTGTCCCTTCCCTGCAGCTCAGACGTGGACTCGGACAGAGCCACGGAGACACGGAGGAAGAAGAAAAAGAAGAGGAGGCGCAGGGACAGTGATTCAGAGCAGCGGAGTCCAGATGCAGCTCGGGGCCACAACCGAAGCAGCGAAGAACGGGAGAGCCGTAAACGTCGTCACTCCGTCACCAAGGACTCTAAACACGATGGCGGATCGCCGCCGGAAAAGCGACGTCGAACGGACTACGCTGATGGCAGCAGGGACCAGTTACTCCCCCCACATCACAACCCCACTTCAAGCGATTCAACACACGCCCATCTCAACGGATACACAGGTTCAGTCATTGTTGTCGTAGACGAGTAAACGCTGTAGAAACTGGTGGTAAAGTGTCGATCCTGTTCTGTAGGAAACGGTTCCAGTCAAACCAACAACTCCTCCAGCAGCTCCAGACACCGACTCTGTAAGTTCTGATGCGCTTCAATGTCTCGGTGGAGTTGGCGGGTCGTAAAGAGCCTTTTTGTTCTGTTGCAGGAACCGTTGGACAACAGCAGAGGAACAATATCAAGAACTTTCTGAAGTGGTGCTTCTTCACTGGGATTCTACATTTTTACCAGAACAAGTGTTTTAAATGTGCAACAGTTTGTTTTATTTTAACCAGTGTTGATTTCCTACCTTGAAACTCACCCAGTTAAAAACAAGTCACCAGTTTTACGCTGAAAATAATTAATATATTCTTGTTTGGACCCAAACAAAAGCCCGGAGCTCAGACCTCTCAGCTGCTGCTCGGTGGAACTCAGGACTCGTGAACATCCCTTGCTCATCCATCTGCTTCAACGACAACAAGGGAGAATGTTTTACCAAGAAGAACTGCAATACGTCGTGTTGAGCGAACGGTGAAGATGTCGCCACATCTGCACAGCTGCGATGTTTTTATTGTTGCCGAACCCGCTGTGCGCTCACACTAAGAGAGGAGATGTTTATGAACGAGGCAGACGAGCGCAGCGGGGCCAACTCATACCTCCACATTAACCCTGGACACACTTGAGAACATTTCTCAGATTTTTATTTTTAAAGCATCTATCCTTTTTTTTTTACCCTCTGAAGCTTAAGGTTTACTTTTAAAACCATTTCAGAATAGCTCTCTTCCTCCTCCTCTTAAACATACTTCTTTCTCCATCCCTCTTTTTTTATCATGACCATGGACCATTTGTGTTCGAATTTATTTTATTCAGAATACAGTTTTTTTTTGTCTTGTAGTATCATCAAAAATACTGTGAATTTAATTTGAACTGTACTATCAGTTATTTAAAAAAAAAAAAAAAATCCTGTATCAGGATTCTTGTTTTTGTTGGTTTGTTTTGTTTTTCGAATCACTCGTGTTGATTTGGACTATACTCTGGACTTTAGTCAATAATGAGTATAATCATTGGCTCTGGGGACTTTCCTTTCAGTTTTCTCAACTTTAGAAAGGAGCTGAGGAAACTGCTGTCACAAGTTTTGTTTAGCATGTCTGAATTTACACATTGTATAAGGTAGACGCCTTAAAATACATTTGTTCATGTCAGAAATTGTAATTTTTGTCCTTGGACTTTGTTTACAAGTTGTGTTGAGACGAATGAAAGGCTGAATGTTGGGCATTTATTTGCCTTTGTCTTAAGAACATGACTGGTTGTATTCAAGCTGTTTGTTGAGCAGATATTAACTTTACAAGTAGACGAGAGAAATTGTAGCTCCTGCGAAAATGCAGTGTGAATGCTTATTGCTAATGAACTTGTTGGAAAAACAGCGGAAATGTAGCTGAAATGGAAGAACATGCCTAAGTTAACAGAAGAAAACCACAGCTGAATTTGGTTGAAATAAATAGAAATGAGCACAAAAAGTAGGAAATTACTCTAAAAGCTGAAATTAGCTAAATATAGCTGAAAAGGTAGAAAGAAGCTTAAATTACCAGAAAGAAGTGGAGAGAGCACAAAAGTGCCCACTTAGGCTGAAAAAAGCCAAAATGAGCTCAAAAAAGTGGAAAACCTGAAAAAAGCTGAAATATTTAAAAAAAAAAAAGGCTGAAAAGTAGCTAAATTAGCAAAAGTGAAGAGATCAATTTTTGCTGAATTCGGCTGAAAAAAGTGAGCGCAAAAACTAAAAGTAGCTGAAATAAGTGAAATTAGCATAACTAAGCTGAAAGGTGCATAACAAGCTGACAGTCAGTTGGACAAAGTTAATTGCGCTGAAAGTCGCAGAAATTACAGCAAAAACCTAAAATTTATCTGATAACGGCTGAAATTAGCTAAAACAAGCTAGCTGCAAAACTAGAACAAGCGTCGATGAGAAGAAAGCAAAAAAACATGTTTGCCCAATTAGGCTGAAAGAAGCAGAAATGAACACAACGTGGAAATTATCGAAACAAAAGCTGAAATTAGCACAAACAACTGAAATGTAGCTAAAAAAAAAAGCTGACAAGCTTAAATTACCAGAAGAAAGTTGAGAGAGCACATTTTTGCTGAATTAGACTGAAAATTAAAACGAGTGCAAAAAATTAGCTGAAAAAGGTAAAACAGCTGAACAGTAGCTGAAATAGCAGAAAAATATGAAACTTGCATAAATAAGAATAACAAGCTTAAATTTGCAGAAATAAGTTATAGGAGAAGCACAAAATGTAGTTAGCAGATGAAATCTGAAAGGATCACAAAACTGGAAAAACAGCTAAAAGTAGCTGAAAAAAAAGTTTAAATTTGTTCAAGGAAGCTGAAGCAGACCAAAATGTGAAAGGACTAAAATATTGTAAACAGATCTAAAGATATGAAGGATGTAAAATGAACTCAGTTTATTTTCTATGAGACAAAAATGGCAGAAAAGGCTAAATCTTTCAAAAAGCCAAAGCTGCAATATCAAAAGTCAAAGCACCCTTCTGAACTACATAAACATTTTGATGATTTGTTGAAATAGCAAAAGTTGTGGAACGAGAAAGATGCTGAAAATATACCAAAGAAAAATGGATCCCAATGAGAGAATGCTTCATAAACATTCAGACAATAGTTTCAGCTGTTTGGGTCAGCCACGTGCGTTTAGTTTTCCCATATTGGAAAGAGACAAACACCAGTAGTTTTGCTGGTTTCACACAGAACACAGGCTGTCTGATGCTAGCACGTATCTTTTATTCAGCTTGTACACTCAGAAGCTGCGTCATAAATCACACATTGACGTTTTGGCTGTAGGATGACGGCATCGCTCAGACCTCCGAGTTTTATCTGAGGCTCCAACTGGAGCCGCAGAAACAAGTTGACGAGTTCAAACGAAAAGCTGAGTGGGTAAAATCTACAGCCGTGATTAACACTACATAAACACACACAATGTTCATTACTCTACATGTAACCTTTAAAAAAAGAAATGAGAAAATAAATACAGAAGAAATGAACGTCACAAAGTTGGATTCTCGATGTACAAAACACCTTCAGGCGATAAAACGTGGCATTTCATGAATTACAGCATATTTTAAACCACATTACAATTTTATTATCTGTAAACCTGTTCTGATTTCTTTGCATTCAGAGATTAAATACTTGGACAGACCGTAAATTAAAATTCATGCCTAAATGTCGACAGAATAAATCAATGTTTGCATATCCAGCTGGTCACGTGAGGGCGGCCAGTCAGACCAGCTGACTGGTCAGCTTGAGGCTTTCGGAAATCTACAAAACGTTGGAGGAGTAAGAAAATGGAGATGTTGCTGGCACGTTTCTCCAAATGAATGACCAGTGTTTGTTCTTTTTATGTAAAGTTGATGTAACTCCAGGTGTGTCCAGCAGAGGGCGACCTCTACTTAGCACTTCAAGAACAGAGCTCAGTTTATCCTCCTGGTTGGTGAAGATTTATTTTACAGCTTCTTCTTCTCTGCTTCCCGTTGAGGAAATAAAAGAGGTTTCCACGTTCCCATTAGACAAGGACCGAGGAGCAGAAGGCCTTCAGGCAGAAGCACAGGCGATCTAAAGTCAAATCCCTCCTGTCAAACCCCCACAGTCACAGAGGTGATGCTGACAAATGTGGCTGACAGTCTGCAGTCATCATTTCTTGTTGGCTATCCTCCTCTTCCTGGTGGCCAGCATGTCGTAGAAAGGATCCCTGCTGATGCTCGCCCTGCGAAGGAGGACAGGAAGGAAAGGCTTAATGTTGACAGAAAACTCACAACACCACCTAATTCATCAGCCTGGTGAAGATGTTGCTTTAATGGTCAGTGAAAATCCACCCTGCCTTGTGTGTGCAGACAGGAAAGAATCAGGCATCCTGTTTTAATTCTGTTAACAGGAAAAACACTTTTTTTTTTTTCATTGTAACCTCAAAAACCTCTTGTTGGTGAAAAAAAAGTTATTTGGTCTTTCATGGTTTACGTTGGCAACAATGAAATCAATCCGATGCCATGTGGGTGCCGAGATCCCTGAAACAGAATTACAACGGAACAGCCAGCCACAACAGACGCCATCTTGAAAGGTGCTACATGCCAGCTTTAGCTTCTCCCAGCATAGCACTGAGACAAAAAACCTCAAATCAGCCAAGGAGCCCAACAGAACCTGTGCTTCAAAGAACTTTGTATTACATTTCAAAGGTGAGTATTCTGGTTAACCATACTGTAAATATTAAAAATACACTGGTCTGGATTGATGTATTGATGGCTTGGCTGGGAGGCACATTAACAAAACACTCTTGTCTCCTGTTTTCACAGTCTGCATGCTTTAGATGTATTTATGTAATCTGAAACCTTTAACCTTTAACGTTAACCATTAACCTAAAATTATCCACCTCATTTTCATTTATCGGCTTAATTGTTTCTTCGTTTCTCTCTCTTTCTACTGAAGACACTGGATGACAAAAGGCTCAACTCCGGTGCTCTTCACTGACCCCGCCCTTTCTCTGTTCTTTTTAAAATCTGTTTTAACCGTCCAAAATCGTGTTTTTGGATTGTTAAAAGCAGCTAAGTTGAGAAGCTAAGCTACGAGCTAAGCTAACAGGCCGGCCTCAGGGAAAAAAAAACCTCAGTCTTGTCGAAGCTCCAAAATTCACGGTTGAAACCCGGCGCCTTCGTTTAAAAAGTTTTCCTCTGCAAAAAGAAGCTGAGAACTTTACTGATTTTTTTTGTTAAAAGCTTTGTGTGAAAAATGCTATGCTAAAGAGTTCAAACCACACCGAACGTCCGCCATTTTGAGAACCGAAGAGAGACAGCCCATGTCACGTCAAGGGGCCTCCCTCCCATTTTCCTTAAAGAGACGTGTTGCTTGCTCCCTCACTATCCATCATTCAGTTCAAACTGCCATCCAGTGGTCGACAAAAGGTACTACATGCAAAACAAATTAAAAAAATTCTTCTTAAATTTGACAATAATGACTAATTATTGTCAAATTTCAAACAATATTATCGTTTAGCGCAATAATTTCTGAGACAATTAATCGCCAAGCAAAATTTGTTATCGTGACAGGCGTAGCCGGACACCGTTTTTATTACTTGTTTAAAAAACTGATTACGTGATCAGTCAGCTCAACTCACTCTCCATTTAAAACGCCAGCTTCATGTTGCACGAAAGACTACATAAAATGCTGAGTAATTAGCAGCTGACATGCTGTGTGTGTGTGTGTGTGTGTGTGTGCGTGCAGTTAACACAACAGCCGTCTCCTCGCTGTGCGGATGAGTCGAGCTGCATTTCTGTGTGAAATCTGCTGACCTATGGACAGTCTGCCGCCTCAACCGTCTGGTCTGACTACAGGCTGTGATCTTTATCAACGTCCATTGCAGGACGCAAAAAAGGCTTTTGCCTGGTCAGTCCGTTAGCAAAATATCTCACGAACCAGGGGACGGTATTTAATGAAACTCAGAATCATTAGATGTACATACGAAGCTGCCTCTCTGCATCGGTACCGCCCCACCTTCATTTAGCAGATACACTCCACCAGATGTGGATGCTGAGGCTTCATAACATCATTACAGGATGGAACAACTGAGTAATATCATTTTCTGCCCTGATATTGATCGCTTTTGCCAGCGGAGCTAAAGCTAGTGAACAGATCGATACCACACTGGGTCCAGCTTACAGTGGTACCTTCTCTTCGTCCTGCTGGATTAAAAAGAGACACCGTTTGAAGGGAAAGCTGCTAAAACACGTCCAAGTCCTGCACAGGACTGTGTGTGTGTGTTTGACCTCATCCTGCAGAGCAAGAACCACCTCTGAGTGTTATCTGCTTGGAAGCGTGAGAAACGAAGTCACATCCAGTCACCAGCCTCTCTCTGTGTGTGTGTGTGTGTGTTTCTCACAGTGTCAAGGTCAGACATGAGAAAGTGTCATGTGGGAGCAGACAGGCGCTGGCTAAGTGCCCTCTAAGTGTAAATGGATCCACAGGGACGTGCCGAGTCTTACATGATGGATTTGATCCACTCCTCCTTCTCCTCCGGGGTGGGCGCAGATATCCGGTACACCACGTGGTTGCCCTTGACGACCTGCCCGTCCGCCTCCGTCTTGCAGGCCTTGATAACCTGACCTTTGTGGTTGGGGTTGTAGAGCTCAAAGCAGTTCTGCGGCGGGGGGGGAGCAACAAATGATGTTTAATGGAAACAAACTGAGCACGTTTTGTATTCGTGGTTCTTACGGGTTTTCTCGGCTCGTCCACTTCTCTGATACTGAGGTTTTCCAGGGGAATAATCCCGCGGGGCTCCTTATCCTGATGACACAACACATTAACTTTGAGCGTCAACGTTTTGCTTATATTGTGAAAGAATTTACAACTATTTCAGGTTTTCCGCACATAAAATAGACAAAGAATCCTCCTGAGATTAGTTACTCCCATTACGTTTGCGCTTATTTTACAAAAATAACAAAACTGACTAAGCAAAATCAATAATCAAAAATAAATCACGGTTAAAATCAGATTTTGAGTAAAACAGACTAAACACAGGAGGAACTAACTCCTTTGTCTTATTCCAGTGACAATTAGCAAATATTAATACAAGCTGTTAAAATGTCATTTCTGTGATTAGACTGGGGGTAAAGGTGATTATTAAATGTTCAGGACCACAGTTATCACCTGTTTGTTGGGGGAGGGGGGGGATTTTTTTTACCCATAATGCAGCAGCACACTTCCTTTAAACACAGCATATCTCTTAAAGGTTTTATATCCTGGTCATGGAAAAGACAGCCCCAGAGGGAGGTGTACCCCCACGCTCTGCATCCACTCACCCTCCAACGAGGCTGTTATTGTGTCTGCAGGGCCAGATGTGTGTGTGTGTGTGTGGGGGGGGGGGGGTGTAGGGGGGAAGACCTTGAGGAACAGGCTGTTGTCATCTTTCCTCTAATGAGGGGGCATGGCGGGGGGAGGGAAATGCCCTGGGACAGCTGCTCACAGCTGGCTGATGTCTGTCTCCCCCCCCCCCCAGCTGAGGGACTCCTGGCTCTGGGGCTGAAGGAGTGGAGGGTTGCCACATGTGTTGCTGGGGACTCGCAGATGTTTGCATTCATGCCTCATGTTAATTGCTGGACTGGGCTGCATGTGTTAAACAGTTAATTGTGTAGAGCAGAGATGTGTGTGGGGGGGGGGGGGGGGGGAATCTGAACAGCTAAACCAGTGCTAACAATTTTAGCTTTTTCTTTCAGCTGCTTCGTTCCTTGAGGGTCGCCACAGCGAGCAAACTCGCACAAAGATTTAGCAATTGTTTTACGCCAGACGCCCTTCCTGAAGCAACCACCGATCACTGAGGTACCACAGGGCTCTTATCTTGGGCACCCAAAAGAGCAGTTCATTCAGTGGGTTGTGAGATTATTTGAGTTACAAAACTGATTGACTTTATTACTTAATGACTTAAGTTTTAAGCAAATGCCTCACACTTTGACCACTACTTACAGGTTTGGTTAGAGATAATGCTCAGCTACTACCACCTCAAAACCGAGCACAATACTTGTGAAACTGACTGAACTGAAGACATTTAATGTGTATTCTATGTTCAAGCTGTGGCAGCCATCTTGACTTGGATTAACTCCAAACGTTAATCAGTTTTAGACATACATTTAAAAATGAGGTTTTGAGAGTTTTGTCAAACCAATCCAGTAGTTCATGAGATATTTTGCTAAAAGACACACACTCTCAGGCACAGACACATGCCTTTTAATAAAATATACTATACATATATAATATATTTATAAAGCCTTGGTACATGTCTGATTAAATAAACAGAAATATGTTTGTTCGGCAAATGTAAAAACATTTGTTTGTCCTAAATTAAAAAAAAAATATATATATTTTTTAATTAAATACGACTTGTTTATATTTTTGTTTATTTGTATATAATCCATTAAATCTAAAATGAAACATTTCATTCACACTGCATGAAAAGAACAAAATGAAGAGGCATAAAATGCTGCAAAACACACTTTGGTGAATTTGAGCAGCGTTATCATCATATTGTTGCTAAGCAACCATCAAATACAGCAGGAAGCAGTGGTATCTCTTACCATCAGACCAAACTCATTACAAAAACGCACATTTCCAGTTTTTATCCAATGCAGTTTTAATTTATTTTAAGCTATTTTACCTTCAGTCGTTTATCGTTTATACTTTATTTCACTAAAGCTGTCGTGTGGGCGTCTGTCCCACGCACGAGGACGCACACGTCCGTGTACTTACCGTGGTGTACTCGAAGTAATAGAGGCAGTTGTCGGTCAGAATGAACCACCTTCTCTTCCACGTTTTCACTCGGCCGCCTGTTGGGGAAAATAAAACACAGGATTTGAGCTTCAGCTGGAGAGTGGGCCGTTTTTGTGCCTGTAGACGCCAACCTGCAGGAGACCCCAGCTCCACGTGCCACAGCTGGTTCTGATCTACACACACTCCCCAAAGACTGATGCTCGCAGGCGAACGACAGAAAGGTGACGAGGGAGCAGAGTTAGAAGACAGTTGAACCTTGTGTTACTGTCAAGTTAAAAAATCCCAGGAATGTGCACGCTACTACATCATCTGATAACTGAAGTTTCAGGACGCACCAGGGGTCTAATCCGTGAGCGTTACTCTACGAGCCTGATCCTCAAAGCCTTTCTTTGTCTGGAACAACAGCTAAACAATAAACTGAAGGGTAAAATAAAAAATATCCTGATGCATGCTCAATAATCCAGGTTTTAGATAATATAAAAAAGTTACACAATGTCTCCATCTGTCTCTAACTCAGACTAGATTAATGGGATTACTGAATCTTTGGGTAATTACACCATCAGTGATGCAATCTGCAGCATACCCATGTAATTAATATACAATCTGAAAAACAGGGAGCCATAGTGATGTAGGTGCTGACTTAGCTGAATGAGCACAAAGCTGCTGTTACTGAGGTAATGTTTACACTTGGCTCGTTCTCACAGCGGCGTCTGCCTTTTTAGTGGTTTCCAAAGTGGTTATTTAGGGTTATTACAATGTTTAGAAGGAAGTCTGGTCATTTCAGAGTAGAGCCGCTGCTCCTCTGCATTAAAAGGGGTCAGTTGATTTGAGCATCTGATTAGGATGCCTCCTGGGTTCCTCTCTATGGATTTTCTCAATTGTCCAAAGTAAAACCCGTAATTTAAAGAAATCTCTGACTACTTGCACATGTTTTACAATAAGTTGCTGCTTGCGACACATGAAAGAAAACACCTAATTACTTAAATAACTGCATACGTTTATAACGTTTTTCACTTAAGGATGTCAAGATTTTACAGGTGCAATGCATTCTGGGACTGGGTTGCAGTTGGAATTACAACACAAGGAGTGAAAGCTACAAAGTAACAATGTGTGACAATAAAGTTATATTTTATATTAGTCCTTATGACGTTATGCACAATATACGGGTAGAAACGATCAAACGTGATGAACTTGTGAGAACGTAAAAGCTAAAAGGGTAAAGCTGAGGTGCACCACCTCTGCCATCTTTCATCCACGGAGCAGTACCAGACGTGTGCGCGGTCGATGATTAATGTGCGCTTGTGTACTAAGATTGTTTGAACTGTGGTCCAGGTGGAATAAAGTTTGGCGTAACATCGGCTCCAGCTCCCAGTAACACAAATTAACACAAGCAGCAGATAATGAATAGAAGGATGTGTAAAGTGACAAAAATATCTCTAAATATCTTTAAATCTTTATTATTATATAATATGTAACACTATATCATAATATATTTTGATCTGGATGCTTGTTGTGAACAGCTTGTGATAGAAAGCAGAGCTCTTTGCAACATAAGTTCTCCCGTAAGCAGCACCAACACCAGCTCTTCTGTTGGACTCTCTCCTCTTCATCATTTTCAGATGCAGAACGAGTGAATTCTGCAGTCTCTTCCTGTCAATGCTCAGCAGGTTCACTTTAAAACGGCCGAACATCAGACGTTGTCTAAAATTAACGTTCACGCTGGATGGAGCTCACACTGGAGCAACCTGTCTGTCATTTACCCAGAATGCATTGCAGTGCAAACAGCATGGTAATATCCATGTGCTATTAATTTTTACATGGTAAATGGACTGTATTATGTAACACCTTTGTATCTTATCAAGATACTCAAAGCACTTTACACTACAGTCTGTGTCCTCATTTACTCATTCATACACCGATGGGACACACATCGAAGGCAATGAGGGGTTCAGTGTCTTGCCCAGGGACACTTCAGCATGTGACTGCTGGTGGAATCTAACCCCCACCTCTCCCATTGGTGTACGACTGCTCTAACCACTCAGCCACAGCCGCCCCTGTAGCTGAAGTATTAATGTATATACAATCTATTGTTCCATCTAGTTGGGGATCCATTTAAACTCCTATTTAAAAGTAACATTGGGTGATTTGTATGCAAGAAGATGCAGTTTGACAGTACTGCCCTAAACCAGTGGTTTCCAACACTGGTCCCTGAGGAACACCATCCTGCATGTTTTGGTTGTTCCTCTGCTCCAACACACTGGATTTGAATGAAAGGGTGATTAACAGGCTTCTGCTGAACTTAAGGAAGTAATTAAACCACTGGAGCAGAGAAACAACTAAAACATGCAGGATAGTGTTCCTCGAGGACCAGGGATGGAAACCACTGCCCTAAACAATGTAGTAAAATGATGGAAATAGTAAAGTACTTGAAAATAATATTTGATTGAATCTATTTTTTCACATCACTAAATGAGTCCCAGAGTATGACAAGATGTGACCCAGAGATGTGTCTAATGCCACAGTGGCTCCTGAAACATGTTCTAAAAGTGTCAACGTTGGGTCATTTCTGAAATTCTGTCAGAGTTTGACGATAACAGATTCAGACACAGCAGCGGGCTCGGTCCTTGGCAACAGCATGGCGTCATCATGGATCTGTTGCAAAGGCGGCTATTGGGACTGAGCTCAAAACAAATTTCTCCAGCAGGACAATAAAGCATTGTCATATGCTATCAGATTGTATTTGATCAGATCAAAGCGCACAGATGGAGCTTCACAGCAGCAGCAAAGCAGTGCAGGAGCACAAATCTGACTCACATCAATCAAATCAAACAACGAAAATGTTCCCCATTAAACATATCTGGAACTGTTCTGACGGAGGGCACAGGTAGAAGGGAATTCTAAAACGTGTATTAAAAAATAAATAAAAAAAAACAGTCTGGCATGTGCAGCTGAGTTGATAGCGAGCAAAACAGGAAGAGAGCAAATTTCATGACAAAGCATTAAGAGGTACAGAGGTCCGCAGGGCAGCAACACAGGAAGAGCAATGAAAAGGGGCAAGGGTCTCCTTTATTTCACTGCATCCTCAGCCACACAGCAGAATGTGTGAAGCTCATTCATCAAAGCTCGAGCATCATGGCTGCGTTTCAGCTACAATGGGGCATGACGTGCTGATAACATACAGAGCATGAAATGACACGTTCAGCTCACCTGTGGACGAGCTAGCTTTATTTAGAGAGCAACACTAAAGCCTGTGGCTGTTTATTTTGACCTTTTACACATTTTTTTAATATTTAAAAAAATAATATCACATGTTTTTTGCTTCAGTGAGTTAAAGGTTTACAGAAAACGACAGATACCATCAAGTTTATGTTTTAAATTTTGAAGCTAAACAAAATTAGCTTAGCACAAAGTTTGAAGACTTTAAAATTACAGCAAAAGCTCTTTTTTTCTGACGAGAATAAAACCGACAACGATTAAAGTGACGGTCAGGTGACGTTCTGTCAGACAGTTATGAATAGTTGGTACTTTTTAAGCGGTGACATCTGTCTCAGAGCATGAATGAGCAGTCTTCCTCTAAGCTAGGCTAGGCTAGGCTAATGGCTAGCCAGACCGGAGCTCTTTTTGTATCGTTTTTCAGGCTAATAAAACTAGTTGCTCGTAAATGTCACGCTGACGTGAAAGACAACTATAGAGCTAAAAATAAACCTCTACACTTTTGCATGACGGTTCAATTTGTTGCTGAACCATTGTAAACGAATAAATAGTATTTCTACAGGCTAGCCTGGAAGAAGACTTGTGTCCTTTTCTCCACACTTTGTCCATAAATGATGTCATAACTCATAAAGTGTAAACTGTTAATAACTGTTTAACAGAACATCAATCACTCGACTGTTCCTTTAAGTAATACAGTGAATGACACTGTGGTTTGATGATAGTTATCTCTTAAAATGGGGGTACGAACCCTGTGTGCACCAACCAAGACAAGGCCTGAGCATCATCCAACCCCCTCCAGAGTCAAAGAGGAATGCAGTCAATCCCCACGCAGATCAAAGATCTCCACCTTGACTTGCTTGTGAAGGAGATAGCCCATCACCTCACGGTGTAATGAACATTTGTCCTCTTACAGCTCTGATACGAGAATTATGAGGTGGTGAGCGTGTTCAGGGGCACGGTGTGTTGAAGAAATAATGCCAGCTGATGCAAGACAGCGTGAGATGATCTGGTAGGAAGGAGGAGGACGGAGTGTTACCTACCTCCTAACACAAAGATTTAAGTGGGAACAGCCATTACAGAACAGAATGAGAGAATATAACAAAGGGTGAGAGAGAAAATGTGAACAGCCAGAAAAAATAAAAATCACAGAAAGTTTCAGTAAAAACACTAACATGACCAGAAGGTGTAAAGACAAGCTGACCTTATCAGAGGAGATCAAACAAAGAAAAGACTCACAAAGACAATGGATTAACAGATACACCTGTTTCACAAATGATCTAGCAAACAAGATGGAAGGCGACAGTTTCGAGGACAAAAATGAGATCCTAAATATGATTTAAACGTTACCGCTAGAACTGAAGCGATACAACACAGACAACGGTGTTAGTTGAAGTGAGCTCAAGCTTGAAACTGAGCAAGGTACAGCCAAGCTTAGACGCAGCTATGTTTTGAGATAAACCGTGACATTTTCATGAAAGCGTCTTTACAACAGCTGCTGGTAATAAAACCATATTTACGCATTAGTTTCCTGGCATGATATAATTCAGGTGGTTTAGTAGGAAGTAGGTTTAGTGAAAGCCAAGCCTTTAGCTCACTGGGCTGTAGCTAGCTATGTTTACATGCGCAAAATTCTTTGACCGGATTGAAATGTTTTCAGATTAAACAATTCGAACGTATTGTTTACATGGGCACAATCCGTTCAGTGTTTACATGCAGCGGGGCTTTTGTTCTGAGTAGAAGTACTGACATGCGCAGAGTGGTAAATTTTCCTTAAAAAAAAAAACACACACAGAAGAAGAAGTTCTACTTCTGTTCTACTTCCCAGATGAACGTCAACAAACCTGAGCGCCTAAAATGGACCCGCGACAGGTTTTAATGACGGTGGAGACGTTGCTGCACTCCCTCACTGAGCTACAGGTGATACAGATCATTTTGAGCTCTTTCTAAGTTTCTAGTAGAAATGTTTGTCGCTCACCGAACAGTTTTGCTTCCCGAACATATTAGCGTAGCCTGGCAGAAATGACATAGGTCACACATGAGCAGTCAGGTCAGTTTTCCACAATCGGAAACAAATGAACAGATTAAGTGTTTACATGCACACCGTTCGGATTATGAATCGGCATAAACCACCCGTCTCATTCTGAGTACAAATTCTTTCGGATCGAGCTGAATCAACAAAAAATAATCCAAATGGGGCGTTTACACGACGCATTTTTATTCCGAATGGCCGTTTAATCCGATTACTTGTTCAGAAGCGACATCGAGGATGAAGAATTCAATGGATTCAGTGATGTGGAATGAAATTGGTGAATTTACCAGTAACTTGCTTGTCGTCCTCGTTGGCTTGTTATGTTAATTAATCCTGTTCAGGATCCCAGGTATGTTCTGTGTGTTATTGCTATTCCAGATTAAATGTCTGTTCTCGCACTTTGTGAAATACACATCTAAATAAATGCGACTTGTACTCGGAAGCGACTTATATGGGTTTTTTTTTCCTCTTCATGAGGTATTTTTAACTACAGTACTGTATACTCTGGAGCGACGTACAATCCGTAAAATACGGTAGCTAGAACCTGGAATGCTTAGATTAATTTATGCACATACCGAGCTTTAAGAGCCATCCCTCTCTGTCGGGGTTGAAGAAGGTGTGCGTCAGATCGTTCCCGTCGTCCTCCGGGATTTTGAAGGGTTCGTTTTTGATGCTGTCGTAAAGGTTCTGCCGACAGGGAGGGGGGAGGGAAACAATTCATCAAACAGGGAAACAGGGGAGGACATGGCTCATTTGTGTTGAGTACACGTGACGCAGGCATCACAGATCATCACATACAGAGGCACATGCATTACAGACAAATCCTCACCCTGAGAAGCTCCTCTGGCAGATCGCCTCCTCCGTTGATGCCCCTGTTCATGGAGATAAAGCGCTCGACGGGGGGCTTGTCTCTGACATTAGGGTTGTGCAGGCTGGTGTTCAGCATGATGATAGCGAATGACAAAACATAGCATGTATCTGCAAATGAAGCCAATTCAGTATTTTACTGAACCATTCTTCAATCAGTAACTTATTTATGCAACAAAATATACGGCTAAGTACAAAATTAAATAAAATAGGATGTTTGCAAAACTGCATTTCATTAATTTTATCTGTGTTCACAGTTTGTATTGCACGTGTAATGCAACACTTTTCCTAAACATATAACAGAACATCATCAGCATACAGTGTCTCCTACACATGGTGATTTCTTAAACTGTCAATGTTAAAACTTATAGCTGATTCTCTAAAATGCTAATTTTACTCTCAAAAGACTAAAAAAATAATTTTGTCATAATTTAGTCGGATAAAAAGAAGAGACGCAGAACAACCATGCACCGTTATTCATCCAAAAATTTTAATTGACCTAAATTTTCTTTAATGTCCTTAGACTTTCTATGTAAAATTATGTACACGTTTGAGAACTAGATGGTAGTTTGTGGATTTGACGGACAGGTTTACGATGTCCCTGCTGTGAGTTAATGGTCCTGGTCTCACAGGAACCAGTGGCTGCTTGGAAATGAATCATTCATTCCCCTCTCTCTCTGCTCCTGCCGACACTTTGGTCTTCAGCAGCCCATTGTCGGTCTGTTTCTCCATAAAATAAACAAGAGCTCCGTACCCAGATCAGTACTGTGCAGAAAATGGTGCTGGATTAAGAGAAACTATTAAACAGGATGAGATTAGCTGTTTTCTCATGGTTGTGGTAATTAAAAATCTACAAACATGTTGTGTTTGTGTGAGCTCGCTGCATGATTACTGTCACAGACAAGGCCCCGTGTTGATGTGCTGTACACACACACACGCACAATCATGAATATGTATGTCATGCCTATATGTAACTGGGGCTACTGAAGAAAGATGCACGTTTAATTCATTAAACCATAAACACTTTGGTCAGGAAACTTATGGTTAAAAAAAAACCATTTACAATCTGTATAATTAACATGCTGCAAGTCCAATTCATAAAAAAGATGTCTGCATGGGAGCAGAAGTTAGAAGTTGTTGCAATGAACTTATGACTATTTTTTCAAAAAATGGCAACATTTTTAAACATTTGCCATGTTCCACTGTGACTAAAATATGCATTTGAGATATTTGTAATTATTACATTGTTTTTAATTTGCATTTTACTCAGTATTTAAACTTTTTCACATTTGAGGTTGTGCTGAGTATATCGCACTTTGCACTCGAACCTTTTGTGCACGTCAACACCTGTGTTTTAGCAGACGCATTTGTTCAGCAGGTAATCGATTAGCACTAAGCTCACTACAATCTACAGAACGCCGCCTCTATGGGACCACATCCACCTGCACCAGCACTACACATACACAAAAGGTCAACCTCTAAAGCATCTTTAATTATTCACTGACACGTGTAGCTGCAGGCTTTGTTTATCACAAAACCATGTATCACTCAGCCAGGTTCCCTCTACCTGAATTATGGATGACCCCTGTTTGTTTTGTTGCTGTGATGCCACAGTGAACTGCAATCTGTGGTTGTTGTAATCTGGTTAATCCATATTGAGCTTTAGTTACAGAAACTCTCAGGGCTTAAAGATTGACATGCATTAAAAAAGGACATCTCTCGCATCCTATTAGAGGATGTATTTGTGTCAGAACATTAGAGTGGCCATAAGTGATGGTATACTGGGCTGCAGTCAACACTGATTTCAAATGAGGCCTACGTGTACCCGAGTTGGTTTTCAGGGTAAACGCATAGAGTTCAACTAAAACTAAAACTGCTGTAATAGCATAAATGTTAAAAAGTTAAATATAACCTTTTATAGGTTAAGGATAGCTGACTGGTTAAGGATGGCTTGCAGCTACTACAAATGTTAGCTTGCTATGTACAATACTGACTGATTGGCAGACATGTTTGTATTTCACAGGTCAGCTGTGGCATCCATCTTGAAATGTGTTGACTCCAAATGTTCATCAGTTGCAGACGATCATCCACTGATTACATTCTGAGAGATTCATTCAAATCTGCCAGGTGGTTCGTGAGATATTGTGCTAACAGACAGAGAGGGTTGACACCAAGAGTTAATGCTAAAGTTTTAAAAAATATTGCTCAATGTAAAGTGCTCGGAGTATGGGTTAGAAATCATGCTCAGCTACTACCACACTAAATTTTACCTCGATATCTGACCAGTTGTCAGAGTTTTAGCCGTTTGAGTGTTTGCTAAGGTCGATAAATTGTGGCGACCATTAAGCTGACTCCAAAAGTTGAACAATTGTAGATGTACACTAGGACTGGGCGATAATTCGATATTTTTTAAAACATCGAGATAATTTCATACACGATATAAAACGAGACTATATCGATGCAAAGCCGCGCGGAAACTGTGCGCATCATCCGCAGAGGGTTGAGACTTCATCCTCGAGCGTCCACCCTGAGCGTCTGCAGAGCAGCTCCACAGACAAGGGGCGTTTACCTTCGGGACAAATTGAGGTCACGGATTGGTCATTTGCTGACACGCCCACTGGATTGATTGACAGGTTAAAAAAAAAAAAACGAGAGCTGGCAGACCCAGCCACAGCGGTGTTCTGTGTTTATGTGTTGTTAATAAAAAGTTCTAAAAAATTTTTAAAAAACAGGGAGCGCTGGCCCTGCAGCCCACACATCAGACCAGCCCACCAGGAAATCTCCAGACCCTCCTGTAGCCACGCCGGACCTGATTTTAATTTGCTTGTGACAAATTCCTTAATTTCTCACCATTTCAGTCATGGCATCAAAGGAGGAGGAAGAGATCGCTTGCCTTTTGACAAAAAAACAAAAGAAAAGGCCAGATCAAGGATGGAGAAGGGGAATTTAATACATTGGTGTCGCATACAAAACAGTCCGTCGCCGGGCAGTTTATTGTGCGACACAGAGTACGCGATCGTAAAAATTGAGCTTTGCCCTGTGGGCGTCCACTTTGAGTCTAATCCAGTACGTGCGGACCTCCGCGTACTAGGCTCATACTCTATGTAAAGTTATACTTGAAAATCTGCAAGTTTTTCTCCCAGTCTGCTCCTTCACACGTCCTCTCCTCCTCTCCCTCAGTGAATACAAACCCAGCCCCTCACCCGCCTCCTGTTATGTCAGCTCCCAGTAGCTATGTTTACATGCGCAGAATTCTTTGACCGGATTGAAATGTTCTGTTTGAATAATTCAAATGTGTTGTTTACATGGGCACAATCTGTTCATGATGAGCGTTTACATGCAGCGGACTTTGTTCTAAACAGCAGTACTGACATGCACAGAGTGGTAAACTCTCCTTAAAAAAAACCACCGAAGAAGAAGTTCTACTTCCGGGTGAATGTAAACAAACCTGAGCACCCAAAATGGACCCGCAACAGGTTTTAATGATGGTGGAGACGTTATTGCACTCCCTGACTGAGCTACAGGTAATAGAAATCATTTTGAGCTCTTTAAAAGTTTCTAGTAGAAATGTTGTGTCGCTCACCGACCAGTTTTACTTCCCTGACATGCTAACATTATTAGCGTTAGCCAGGCGGAAATGGCAAAGTCGCACATGCGCAGTCAGGTCAGTTTTTCACCATCAGATAAAAACGAACAGATCAAGCGTTTACATGCGCACCGATCGGGTTTCAGATCGGCGTAAACCACCCGTTTTGTTCTGATCACAAATTATAACGGATCGCGCCGAATACACAAAAAATAACCCGAACGGAGTGTTTACATGACACACTTTTATTCCGACCGGCCATTTGATCCGGTTACTTGTGTCCATGTAAACATACCCACTGTGAACAAGCTAGATGCATAATGCAGATATCAGTCGTCACAATAGTTGACTCACAGCGGAGACACTCTGGTGACATGGATGTAAATTAATGATAGGTGTGAAAATGACTGGGTAGCTGCTACAAAGGAGAGGTTTGGTGTTCTCCAGGAAATTAACTGGTTTATAGCGGCACGGTATGAAGTTGTCTTCTCATTAAAAAACACGGAGACAGATATCCAGCTTAGGGTGATTTATTTGCTGTGTATTTACGCACAGCAGTAACCAGTAAAGCACAAACAGAAGCTCAAACAGCAAGGCTACGTCAGTGTCCTGAGAAAAAAACTCCAACGCACGGCACGCAGCTCTGCACTTTACGCAGAGCGGTGCATTCACTAGCGTCAGAACAGCCGCGGTACATTCAAGAGCACAGGAACTATGAAATTCAGAAAGAAACATGCCATACGTCTAATCCCCAAAATGTCCCCCGGGCGCTTTCAATAGCTGCCCACTGCACCACCTGGTGGTGGATGGGTTAAATGCAGAGACTAATTTCGCCATTGTATGGAAACATGCAGTGCTGACATTATTATTATTATTATAACCAAACAGAAACGAGCTCAGTAAACAAGCCAAGTACAAAGTACACAACAATGTGGGCTTTCTAACATCATTGTTAATAAAGGTTGAATGAATGTACTTCATTAGAATCGGACTTTTTAAAGAGCAACTCAGCCTTTCGTTATCTTTGCTCCGTATGTGTTATATTTAAATTTGAAGTGCACAGCTGTGTTTTTGGTTTTGTTATGCAGGAAAAAACTTTATTTTATTTTTGAGACATTTATTTCGTATAGTTACAGCTGTTAATAAATGTGCCTGTGTGATAATTGGGACTAAGCTTTGACTCAGAGATATATTTTTGTTACCGTACATTATGGAAAGAAAAATATTGAGATATATATCGTATATCGTCATTCATCTTAAAAATATTGAGATATTAATTTTGGTCCATATCGTCACACACCAAATGGTTATTTTTTGAATGTTTCACTAAAATCCATTCAGTGGTTCATGAGAAATTTTACTAACACTATCAAGACACATAAACACACACACACAAAAAGAAACAAGCAAAAATATTACCACTTTCCTTCGCCGGCAGGCAGACATGAACAAATTATTAACACCAGAGAGACATCTGTGGAGCACGGTCCATCATCCGTCTCCCTGCCAGGATTATTGGTGGTTCTCCCACAATTTTGCTCAACAAAAATGCTAAAAATATCCAAACAAAGAGCATCTCTGACACCTCAGTGGTTGGCATGGTGACGGCCTGAGACAGCGATGGAGCTCGTCTGACAGGCCTGTGAGGTCACACCTGAAAGAACAGAGCGTCTCAGCTTTGACCTGTGGTTCTGACCTGTCGACTGAAACACTCCAGGGTTGCACTGGCAGTAGCGCGAGGCAAACGCCTCCATCATACGGTCGATCTTCTGGGCTTCACCCGGCAAGCGGAAACTCCACAGGAACTGCCTACAACAGAAAGGTGTCGGGTGAAGCAGGTCGGAGCTGATACGGACTCGTTTTTTTTTAACTTCTACACAGAGTCACGCTTCTGACCGTAGAGCTTGGACGAGGTTCAGGTCTGCAAACTCGTGCAGCTCCACGAAAGCCTGAAGCACCTTGATGTTGAAGTCATCCCTGTTTTAGAAAAGACAAAAAATATAACACTTTTGAAGACAGTCATATTGAGGCCTGAAAGTAGTTTTCCCTGCATTCCTGTCGTTCTTGTGCACATGTGTCTTATGATTCATTTCAGACGTTCTGCAGGTCTGGAAGCAATTGAAACCATCGGTAGATGCTGAGGAGGGAGGGGTAAAAATAGTAACCAAAAAAAAAAAAAACAAGAACAGACCCACCCTTTATGTGAGAACTTTGGCTGTTGGGGAGATTATGAAGAAAAAGTCAACATCTGCGGTCAGAGCCGCTCTGATCTTATTTCTCCTTCGCTGAGCAAGAATCAAGCTGGTTCTGTTCTGTTCAGCTCAAACCAAGAAACTTCAGACACGAGTTTTATGTAGCAAAGTACTGCTGGAGGCCTGACGATGCTGGATTACAAGAAACCTGCAGTGTAATGTGACATTTTGTGATTTAGTTGACGAACACTTTTCCATTGATTGTGTTTTTTTTTTAATTATTTTTCCCAAACATTTATTTTACTATCTAACTCCGTGCTATTTTAGTCAATCATGTTTCAAAACGTCAAGCTCAGTCAGGAGCTACCATACCACTTTATTTATGAAGCACTTAAAACAGCAACAAGGCCAAGCAAAGTGATGTACAACAGACACAAAAAAATGAGATGAGCGTTATAATTTTTGGTATTTGTAACTTTTATACTTTTTGAACTTATCTTTTTTTTTTACTTTTTTTACTTAGAAATGCATTGCAATATCTTCAATTCCTTTAAAAAGTTTTAGAAAATCTGTTTCGGCATACTTTCTCTTATTTTATTGTTGAAGTTACTTTTAGTTTTTAGCTACTGTTCGCTGCTTTTAGTTAGCCTTTTGTAAACGTTTTCTTTTATTAAAGGCGGATTTATACGTATTCAGATGTAAGACGTCTGATCCCGCTGACACATTTGTGAGATGTTCTTATTTACATGGACATTCTTCACCCAAAAGACAAACTGTAGCAAGAAGCCCCGGTAAGCTCTCCCACTGCAGCGCAAACAGAAACAACGCAGCGACGATACAGCTTTTTATTTTTCCCGCCTAAACATGACCACAAAGTTCGGACCAATCACACGAACCGCAACATGTACCCCCACAAATGTTATATCAAAAAGACCGGCTCGGTGCCGTGATGATGTGTGCTATTACTTTTATCGGTGTTTCGTGTTACCATGGCGATGTAATTTGCAAACAAAGATGCCATTTTTCCAATACAAACACATGACATAGCACCTCACACTACCTGCTGCTGTGAGGTCACATGACTTAAGAGGTTCATGAAGAAATCCCAGAAAGTCACTTTTGGATTTGTTTGAAACTAACAGAAAGTAAGCATTGCATAATGTTTGGCGCCATTTTGATTCAAGATGGCTGCCACAGCTACCTCAGCAAACACACAATTGACTATAACTCAATCATTCTTTAAGCTATTGAGCTGAAATTTAATATGCTTGTAGCCGAGTGTGAGTTGTTATACATTCCTAATGCAAATCAAATATCCAAGATGGCCGCCTCAGCTAAAATGGAAAAAGTATGATAGCTCAGCCACTTTTAGTGATATTCAGCTGAAATTTGTTGTGTTGGTACCTCAGAGCAAGGATCATTAAATACTGAATTCAAATCTAAACATTCAAGATGGCCACCAAAGCTACATTCAAATGGCTTTAACTCGGCTATTTTTACACATAGAGCTGAAATTTGGTGAGGTTATAGCTGAGAATGTTCCCCATCACATACTGAATCCAAATAAAAAAATTCAACATGGCCACCTTAGCTAAATAGAAAAAATGACTATGACGTTGGTTTTTTTTATTTGTTTTTTTCATCCCGAGCTGAAATTTGGTATAGAGGTAGCTGAGAGCAAACCCAAACACATAGTACTGACAAATCAACAATTTTAAATTGGCAGCAACCAGACAGTCCCCGTCAAAGTTTCTCCAGGAACTTTCTAGTTCTATTTCATCCCTCCTGACCGCCAGAGGGCGGTGCTGAAAGCACTGAATGTTCCCTTCGCGCATGCGCTGATTCGAGTAATAATACCAACGGAGTCACAGGTGTGACACGGATGACCAATCAGAGGCTATATAGCCCGACGTCATCCGCTGCTCTGCTCCTATTTTCTTCTCGCGCGCGGTTCAATTCAGGGCTTCAGCCCTTTGGACCTTTTCTGAACTTTTTACCGTCGTCGGAAGCCCGACTGCCCGTTTGCGGGAGTAGCGTGTTCGCCCTCCTAGGGCTGCGACGGTTTAACCCTGTTCAAAGGTATTTCTGCTGTTTCGTTGGGAACTACGGCGGTTTCCGCCTCTCCCAAATTACAGCGTCTGACTACTATGTGTGTGATTCAACACCGGTGAGTAGTTTTCCTTATATTTCGCCGTTGGTTAGCGGTAGCGTGAGCGGGGGTTAGGAGACCTCCAACCGCGTGGTCGGCTGGACTGTGCTCCGACGTTGTTTATGACTACTATGTGTGTGATTTAACACTGGTGAGTAGTGGTTCTTTGCTTATATTTTGCTATTGGTTAGCGGTAGCGTTCGCTCCGCTCTTGTTTACTGGAGGCCTCCAACCGCGTGGTCGGTTGGACCGTGCTCCGAAGTTTGTTTATTACGTAGCCAGCTGAGTTCCTGGCCTTGTTTTATTTGGTGAAGGCGAGTGTTCTCACCCCCTCTCCCAATTGTCCTCTTATCAGCTGAGCTAGTGGTGCTAGCCTCTCTGAGTTTTCACTTTGTTTTAATTGGTGAAGGCGAGTGTTCTCACCCCCTCTCCCAATTGTCGTCTTTTACCAGCTGAGCTAGTGGTGCTAGCTTCTCTGAGTTCTAACCTTGTTTTTAATTGGTGAAGGCGAGTGTTCTCACCCCCTCTCCCAATTGTCCTCTTTTACCAGTTGAGCTAGTGGTGCTAGTCTCTCTGAGTTCTAACCTTGTTTTCATTGGTGAAGGCGAGCGTTCGCGCCCCCTCTCCCAATTGTCTTCTTTTACCAGTTGAGCTAGTGGTGCTAGCCTCTCTGAGTTCAAACCTTGTTTTAATTGGTGAAGGCGAATGTTCTCACCCCCTCTCCCAATTGTCCTCTTTTACCAGTTGAGCTAGTGGTGCTAGCTTCTCTGAGTTCTAACCTTGTTTTCATTGGTGAAGGCGAGCGTTCGCGCCCCCTCTCCCAATTGTCGTCTTTTACCAGTTGAGCTAGTGGTGCTAGCCTCTCTGAGTTTTGACCTTGTTTTCATTGGTGAAGGCGAGCGTTCGCGCCCCCTCTCCCAATTGTCCTCTTTTACCAGCTGAGCTAGTGGTGCTAGCCCCTCTGAATATCTTGGGCATAGCTGGGTAAGGAGCATGGACGGCTCTCACTGCTGTACAGTCTGTGGAGCCATGCTCCAGATAGATGACGGTCACGACCTGTGTCCTGCCTGCCTTGGACATGACCATCTGGTGGATGCCCTGTCAGAGAACCCCTGCATGAATTGCAGCTTCATGTCGCATGCTGTGAGGGCAGCCCGGCTGGCCCAGTTTCGCCCCAAACTCGGCGATGACCTCCCGCCTTCTGGGCAGGAGGCTCCACCTAGGCGCTCGAAGCGCCGGACTGAGGCCGCAGTCTCTGTGGCCCCTCCTGGGAAGAAGCGAGCCAGGTCTGATAGGGGCCTCTCCACAAGGGTGGAGCAGCTCTCCGCTGAATTAGCGGAGATGAAGTCCCTTTTTCAGGTACACCAACTGGGAACTGAACCAGTGGCAGCAACTGGACTCTCCTCCCCACCCATGCCTGAACTGGCTGTGGAGGAGGATGTGCTATCCTTGGCTGCCTCTGCCTCTCACTTTTTAGGTGAGGAGGACGGGCATTCATCTCGAGTCTCAGAGACAGCTTCACTCTCTTCTTCTCGGAGTGCAGTTAGTGGGTCGGGTGACGGCTCGATGCAGGACATTATGCGTATGGCCCTGAGACAACTGCAGCTGGACGTCCCGCAACCAGAGGCGTCCACCCCTGGAAGTGCCTTCTTCAGGCGCGGACTGACCCCTCCTTCCTTTTCTGTCCCTCCATCAGAGGAGTTCCTGAGGGAGTTGCATGGTTGCTGGCGGGACCCCAAGGCCTTTGCGCGCCTCTCTGCAGATGGCAGAGTGTTGGCGGCCATGCATGAGCCGGCTGCAGCAGGCTTGGATCGCATGCCAGCGATAGAACCTGCTGTTGCCTCTCTCATCGTGTCACCAGATGAAGCTCTGCGCAGTCATGTTCGGTGCCCACGAGCTCAGTGTCGTGTCACGGATGAATTCCTCTGCAGAGCCTATGCCGCCGGAGCGCGTGCTGGCCGCCTAGGTAATTCCTTGGCACACCTAATGCTTGCCCTCTCCGCGTCCCTTCAGGGGACTAGTGGTACGACAGCAGCGATGGGCTTTAACGATGCAGCGCTTCAGGCCTTTGCACTAATGACGAGGGAGCTTGGGCGTGTGATGTCCTCCTTGGTCCAAGCTCGCCGACAGGTCTGGTTAGCTCAGTCAGCATTGACTGAGCCATGCCGTAGAGCCCTCCGTAATGTCCCAGTGGTGCCGGGGGAGTTGTTCGGTTCGGCTGCCTTGGAAGCACTGGAACGGACTGTCCAGGCACGACAGAGAAGGCAGCAATTTTCGAGCCTTAGCAGGCCAATGCCCCCTCCACCTCCTCGGCATCCAAGGCACCTGTCGGCTGGCTCCAGCATGCAGCCGCCGCCTGGGGGTCATAACCGGCCGGGTGGTCCTTACCCTCATGCGGTTCAGCAAAGGCCCAGCAGGAGCTCTCGTGGGTTGGTCCACCGACCAGCTGGGCAGGCTCGGACCAGGGACTCTGGCTGCCGCCCCCCCACGGCCCCTAGGGGTCGTGGAGGGAGACGGTGATGCCATCAGGCCGACCGTCGGATATTTCTCCCACCAGCAGCTCAGCTATTGGGTTGCTCACGCCGTGGACCCATGGGTGGTTGCCACTCTGACCCATGGTTACCGGCTACAGTTCC